AAGCTATTTTTTTATAATAATGAACACCTTTTGCTTTTATCCTCTTCACCACTGATCGGCTCGTTAGCAGCTTGGGTGATCGGTCACGTCTCTGTTACACACTGTTGGCAAGTACTGGACATGCACCGGCTCCTGAATGTACCTGAACCTGCTCCAGTGTTGGTCAAGTCTGGTCTTGAAAGAGCTCACAATTCGGTCCCGTCACAACACTTTTTGGTACAGTATATTGATCCGAGAGTTCACAACTCTCATTCCGAAAAAGTTTGCCCCTCACAGTTTTTTGGACTTGCGGCTTCTTCAATCTTGAGCTGTGACCCCTTGTGGGGCGAGCGTCCGCCAGCTCCAAGTAAGGACACTCGACTGAGTAGTGTCCCTTGAGATGCTTATACACCACAATTAGGTCACCCCTTGCCCTTCTGTAGTATAAGCTAGCCAAGTTCAGGCGCTCCAATCTCTCAGGGTAGCTGAGGTGCCAAAGTGCAGGCACCAGTCTGGTGGCCCTCCTTTGAACATTTTCAACCAACTGACAGTCCCTAGCATATCTCGGGGACCAGACGGGGTGACAGTACTCCAGATGGGGAAGCACTTCACTCTTGAAGATCGTTACGAGGGACGGACAGTCTAGATATCTGAACGACCTTCTTATAAGACCCAATAATTTATTTGCCTGATTTACCTTCTTCTCACAATGGCCCGAGTACTTCAGCTCATTGTCAACATACACACCTAGGTCCTTCTCACATCCAGTCTCAAGTAGTGCAGTTTCTTCATCCTGTTGGCACATATGATACGCCTCCTTACCGTTGGTACGCCCCAGGTGCATCCTCTTACGCTTCTTGACATTGAATCTCAGCAGCAATTTCTTCGACCATTCTTGGAGCCCACAGAGGTCCTTCTGCAGCTCTCCACAGTCCGCTTGGTTCTTGATTTACCGAAATAACTTGGCGTCATCGACAAACATTTGTATGGAGGAGTGTACAACGTCAAGCATGTCATTTATGAAACAAACAAACAACAGCAGGCCCAATACACTGCCCTGTGGTACCCCGCTTGTGACAGGTACGGATAATGATTTCGTGCATTACCGTGCAATCTGGGAGAATGAATACACTCCGAAATGTCTCGCTCCTTGCTAAGTTTTTTGCCTGCCGAATTACCTCCCATTTCTCCTCCTCACTCACTAGTGTGATCCTGAGGGGGCAAGGCTTGTCCCCCTGCTTTTGTCCCAGCCTCCTTGCATCCTGAGGCATTGATGGTATCTTCAGAACCTCTGAACAAATATTCTTAAACTGCATCTTATCGTGTGTTATCTTACTCTCAGTTCCCTCCGCCTGGCTCCAAAAACTATTACATTGTTCCTGCGCTGGAAACGTTCCCGTTGTTCCTCCTCTCCCCTAACAGTAGGTCCGTTAATTTTCATTTCTTTGACACACTTCTTCAGAGTCCCTAGCTGCTATAGAACCTGTTCTGATCCTCCATTACTCTCCGCCCCCTCCCGCGGCCCTGCTAATACCTCAGCATATCTCCTCTTAGCAACCACCTCCATTCTGTCGGCTACTTCCTCAGTCTTAGCAAGGATCTCTATCCCAACTTACTCTAGTTTGGCAACCAGCAAGGCTCCAGCTTCATCTATTTTCATCCCTAGGGAACTCGTTTCTCTATGGCTTGCAATCGCCTCTTTCACCTTGACTATGCAGTCAGGGCAATACCAGCAACAGCCTTCATGCTTTATGGCAGTTTGCATCATCCTAAACATTGCATTAGTCGCCCGACTAATGCAACGTCCCCTGCAGTAATCACACATCATACTCATGGTTGTTGTTGTGGTGGTGGTGGGGGGGGAGGTGCAGACTGTGTATAGATCTACACCTATTTTAAAATAAAGAGAAAAAAAACAGTACGGTAATACCTCGGTTTACGCGGTTCTCGTTTACGCGGTACCCCGCCAGAACCGGAATGCCCAATTTACGCGGTGCATATACTCATATACGCAGGAAGCAGCGCGGGCAGGGTGCGCACAAGGTCACCCAGTCATCAAAACATGACCGAGTTCTTCACCCGCCACCCACCACAGCCGGCCGAAGTCAGTGATAGTGAGGATATGGACTTATATGGACTTTGAGGGGTTTGACAAAGAGGCCCAGCAAGCCTCTGTGGTGGACAGTGATACAAGTGATACAGGTGAGGGCCAATAATCTGCCCTCTGCCTCGGAACCAACCCCCCATCCCCGTGTGCCCAGCCATCTTTTCTACTAATGTAAGTGTTAAAAAACCTAATATTATTGATATTTCTCTAATTATTAATTGTGTGTGCATCCCATCATAAAATTAAGATGTTATTTTTACTATAACGTAGGTATTGTGTCTGAAAAAGTGGAGTTTGGGAGTCTCTATTTCAATTAATCCCTTATGTTCTGTTATTCAATTGACCGCGTAAATCGGGGTATTACTGTACTTAGCTGCCCTCTGCTGTTGCCTTTGAGGTTGTCTTCTGTTTTTCTTCTCTCTTTTTTTTTTCAGTTCACTTCGGCAATTTGTCGGTATTTATGTGCTAACTCTACGTAAACTGCATTTTGCTATGAATAACGGATTTTATACACCCACTCAGTCCTTCAGAAACACAGAAAAGTAAAACAAAACTTTCTTTGGGGCAGTAATAGAATGCCTTTAAAGATAGCCAAGCTTGTTGATTTTATTTATTTTTTATTTTAACTCGTATTTCCTTATACAGTGACCCGTTTAACTAACACCTCGGTTAACGTAATTTCGATTAACGAACTGCCTTCCATAAGGATCTTCAATTCGGTTAACGAAAAAAAATTCGCTTAACGAACTTCTTACGAACCGACCTCAACATGTTTTCGCTTGCACTGACAGGGCAACCAGCTTTAGTATCAGTCCGCCAATACATTAATCGGTTCTAGGGCTTAAATTCCTTACTATTTTTGTAAATATCAAGAAGTTTATACTATTCAATAATTTTAAAAGTTTAATATTCAATTTTTTAGTCATTTTAACAATTATTGAACAAAATTGAAGGTAAAGTGACTAGTTTAATGCGCGGCATCCAGCCTCTTACACAGCAAACAGGCGTCAGTCTCTCTCTGTTTTCACTGGAGGTAACATCTTGCTTGAGACTCTCTTCAACTAAACGCTTTTTTTCTGTGTTTCCAAGCAAATTATTGGTCATTTTGAAATATATTTTATATATTGACAATATATAATGCAGTGCAGCGTTGATTTAAAGAAAATAATCTTGAATTAAACCAGAGAGCTAAAATTTTATGGGTGAAATGGCACCATGGGGTGACTTCTCTTCCACCCCAATGCCTTCTCTTCTTCCTTCTCCTCCACCCCCATTCTAAATCCCATCATCATCATCATCATCCAGGAGCCTTCTACATACACACCTTAAAGTAAGTGAACTTTTCTACCATTTTTGTTGAATTTAGGAAATTTTCGGTGAGCTGGAACCAATTACCCAAAAACCCATTGAAACAATGGTTTCGGTTAACGAACGTTTCGGTTAACGAACGACCTTCTGGAACGGATTGAGTTCGTTAACCGAGGGGCCACTGCACGCTTTCTATTCCTGTTCTCATCAACAGCTATATCTCTTTGTGCTATCACTGTGTACATTGTATCTCCCTGTGAATGATGTATTGTAGGCACAGTTTCAGTCCATGAGAAAGCACGCAAACAAAATAAAATTTAAAGTCTCTGCGGCACCTATAATGCGCCTTGGTTTCAGCTGGCAGTGGTGCCTTACCAGCTTGCTTACCAATTTGTATTCGCTTTAAGTTATTTACAACCTCTTCCGCAGTCACTGATGACACTATGAACTGATTTAACTAAAGGCACAGTACTACGCTCCCTGGTTGGCCTTTATCACAGCCGTGACCACAACTCCGTAAAAAACTAAAATAAAAGCTTTGTCATATGGCAATGATTTTGTGGTTGTAGGCCTCCTGACCCGGGCTGTATATCCAACTCAGTGGAGATTGAGTTTTCAAAAATACAATTGCGTCTAACATTAAAAATCCTACATCGATTTACACTTTCACATCACTAAGACGATCTTGATGATCTTATGTAATCACTGTCCAATTTCTGCCGCTCAACAACAAAGGCCCGAATGCCGAACAAGCTTTGTTACAGAGACGCAACACGACCCGACCCGCACGCCTAACTCCACTGGCCTACTGTCCATTTCCACCTTTTTTTTTATTTAAGTGAGCTTATGTTTGAAATAGCTAGGGCAAAATCAACAAAGATCATCATTGGGCTTTATTTATAAGCCAAAAAAAATTACAGTACAGTACAGTATGAACATACATACTTGATACACAAACTGTGAGGCTTAAAATGAAAATTTGGATACAATGTGGCAGTTATCTATGTTAATATGTAAGATTCTGCTACAACTATGTCATCAAAAAGTTGGTGAAAAAATTTTTTCCCTATGACTATCTCAAGGCAAATTTACCTTCTTTTTCAATTAATGATGGGGTAAATTGCTGGGGCTTCCCTGTCTCTACTTACATCAAACCGGGTGCTGAACAGTTTTTATGCCTAAACTACTGTATGCCGAGAATTTTCTTTTCCAGTGATAAGGAATTTTAGAAAAAATTTGTGGTACAGCGCTAAAATGTGTATCTCACACCAATATGTTAAGGGTTCGAGCCTCGGCCCAGACACACGTGAGAAGGGTACCGGGTATTATCCAGAGTGACCCTGCTAAGCATCACAGGTTTCCCAGTCCTCGGTTTCCTCCTGTACTAAACACTGGATAGACCAGTTGCTAGAATGGCTAGCAAGCTATTAAAAAAATATACACCCTATATACAGTGTATACACAATAGAAAAAATTATGAAGACTGGACTGACCACAAGACAAGTGATGCTAAATTGAACATTTACCAACCATTCACTTCATTTATGCTTTACCTATAAGTTTTTTTTTCGCTTTCAATTTATAAAAAATGGAATACTGTACTTACATGTAATGGGATCTGTGATGCAGACTGAGCAGAAGGCTTTTTTGGTTTAGGAGGAACAACTGGTGCAACTTTTTTTCCACCTCCAGGAGAATACTGCTGAGGGGTGGCATTCCCAAGGTGGAGCCGACCCAACTCCTCTGTTACATTACTGTATGTGTTGCTAAACATCTTGAGTCAATTAACTGCTGTATCTGCTGCCCACTCTGAGAACAAAGAAACATAAACCTGGTAAAACATGCACACACTAACATACTCTACTGCATTCAATAACAAAATTCACATTTATAAGGAGGTTGGGACGAGAGAATAATAATACAGTACAGGAGGTCCCACGGCTATGAACGGGTTCCGTTCCTGAGGACATTCTTAATTCGGATTTGTACGTAAGTCAGAACACATGCTATATGCATACTACAGTACTGTACTTACAAAACAATGCTTAAAATCCCACTATATCACTTAATTTAAATCAAAAGAAAAAATAGAATGACAAAACACAGTAAGTGAAAGTAAAAAATAAGTCATCAGGTAAATAAAATACTGTCAATTTCAGGTTTAACCCCGTTCGTATCGGCGGGCGTTCATAAGTCGGACGTTCATAAGTCGGGGACCTCCTGAATACTGTACAAAGGTCGAAAATAATTATCAAAGTTCTTATGTTGAACGTAATATTGATCAGAAATTTATAACTTAACTTTCTAGACGCTGGCCTTGTACGTGTATTTATCATTTTAAGAGGGCACGGGTTTAAACACTATAGTACAGGTACTTCCTCTAAGCTACTGGGGTGCACTGTGGTCAATCACACCCTGGACAGTATTGACTATCAGAAGAGGAATCCATAACTGAGCATCCATAAAAAAGTAGAATCCGTGAATCACCCGGTCAAGACCGATGCTAATACCATACAAGTGCATTTGAGGCACTTGGTGGAAGAAGGGTGAATCAACCAACGATGCCAGTGCAGACACTCCCCAGGTTACTTTTGGGTTCCGTTCATGGAGGCTATCCATAAGCCAAATTGTCCATAAGCAAGAAGTGACCCTTCCATAGGAAATCACTGAACACACATAGTATACAGTATGTACTATACACTATACAATTACAGTACTACCATTTATTCAGCATACTTGGGACCCAGGGCTTACCAGATAGGTTAAGTTTAATGGAATTAGGAGCACCAGGCCAAAACTTTACAAAATGTCCAGTAAACCCTCTGTGACTGGCTGTGAAGACTTTACACTAACATTAAAACTTAAAATTGTAAGTATATAAGCATCAATAACAAAAGCATATACTGTACTGTACAGTAAATAGCATTAATGAAGGCATGAAAAGAGCACAAATAATACATGTTAGTGTTTAAAATGTGTTGCAGTTGCCTCTGGTGCGTCCCTAGGAACAGTGCTCCGCCAAGGACCTTCCAACATCAACACACTAGCACCAAAGTTTCATGGTGGAAGCCCATATATAATCAAAATATTATGTTATGCCTTACGATAATTATTTCTGATTTATTTTTGCACTTTCTGCATGTAGGATTGTATATGTATGTAACTGGGTAAAAAAAAAAATTATGGCAGTAACCCTTGATAATTCGGCATTTGATAACTTGGAATGCCAAGTGGGTAACGGTGACGAACACTTGCCACACCATTCTCCACGCTTGGTCAGTCTGGTGTTTGATATTGTTGTGGTCGGTTGTGTGCTACTTGTCTTTCCACACTTTGTTCACTGCTGATCCTCTCCCTCTTCAAACATCACTGATATGGCATCTGCACCTTCAAGGAGTTATAGGAAGGGCATGAAGCTCAAATTCCTGAATCTTCACGAGAAGAATAAAGTGTTAGACTGAGCTGATGCTGAGGCATCCACGCACATGGTGTGTGGAGAGTTTGGGATCAAGTCCAACACCTTTTATGACATAAATAAGAATCGGTACAAGATTCAGAAACACTCTTTTAAGCTTAGAGGACCCTGGCAGCTAAAAAAAGTGAAGAAAATAATTAAACCTGGAAAGTTTTAGTGACTTAGACCAAGCTGTGTACAAGTGGTACAAACATGAAAGTGCGTCTGGCATCAACGTACGAGGTGTGGACATTCAAAATGCTGCAGTTCGCTTTGCATAGCACCTCAAGATAAAAGGCTTCAACACAAATGCAGGTTGGCTTTTCAATTTTAGAAGCCGTCATGGTTTGGTGAACCGGAAAGTTGTTGGCGAGACTGCCAGTTCTGATGAAGGAAGTGTTGAGCCCTTCATGAAACATCTTGTGAAGATTATATTGATAGCTGCAAGTGTCTCTGAAGAAAAGACAGAAGAGAAAGATGACGGATGTGATGACGAAGCTCCCAGTCCACGGCCTAAGCTGTCTGATCTGAGATTTCACTTTGAAAAAACCTTGGAGGCAGTGGGGCAGCTGCCTGACCTAGATAAATACTGTACTATGCAACTCTTAAGAAACATCAGGGCAGATGCGAAACTTAAGAAATCAGTAGTTTACGTTCCCAGCGTCATTTCACATGCATCACAATGAAGACAATGTAAGCAGATTGTAAATACCTGTACGTCCCTCCTCGATTCACGACGAGGTTCCGTCCCGACGACCAGGTCATAAGTCGAAATGGTCGTAAGTCGAAAAGGCAAAAATGATACATAGAATTTCTAAAATGGGTGTCTCTTTTTCTTCTCAGCACCACAAAACTCTCACTTTTACACTTGCCACCCATTTTAAAGGAAATTACAAACGAAAATTTTGTCAGTACACAGTCGAGTATGTCGCAAGTCGGAGTACCTGTATATTCTGCACTGTAAATACATATCAATACAAACTACAATAATGTTTAATTAGCAGTTAGTATAATATATATTATACATAAAATTACAGTATACAGTATCCTGCTTCAAGAAAAGTGCTTTCAGTGGTAACTGAAATTGGGGCAGAGCCCCCCTCACTAGGAAGTTAGGTAGATTTGGTTGATTTGGTCAGGTTCTGTTAGAGTGTGGGCATTACTGTTTCCATTTTCTTGTTTAGTATCATGCAAATAACATCTCCAGAAGTTTTGGTGCGATTCCATACGGGTAATTTATGAGAACACTGCTATCACCAGAAGGAGTTGTTCGATTTCATTAATTTTTTCCACAGATGTTCTTATCATTATATTAAGTATTTTAAAAGAGGCAACAACTTTTTATTATAATTATATATTTTTTCTTAGTTTTCTCTACAATCATAAATCACTTGTAGTGGACAATGCATGAAGGATGAGGGAAATTGTGGGGTATAACATGGTGAAAAATTGATCATATGACACAAATGATATATCTACATGCTTTGTTAATGAAGAAATTAAGGCTAATATACAACTAGTGACAGTCAGTGGTTCAGTACCTATGGGGGATAATTTTACACAGGTTTGTAGGCTGATTACTTTCAGTTCAATTTATTTTCATGGGTAAATGCTTAGTTTTCTAGATATAAGCAGGTTAAAAAATGTTAGGTTAGGTTTGGTTAGATTTGGTTAGGTTTGCACATGATTTCAGCCATTTTTATATTTTTTCCCAACATAATACATTATCCTCTGATAAAATAAGTGAAAATTGGATATTTTAAACCCATTTTCAATGATAAACAGCAGTCAATATCCAAATAATTACCAAAATTAATTATTTACCATAAATACTCCTCTGTAAAATCTGTCGAGTCAGCGGGTGTTGTCATCTACTCGGTTTGTCTACAACTGACCCACTCGGCCCGAGCACTCTCTCACTTAAAAAAAAAAAAAAATACACCATGACGCTTCAACAAAGTAGCTTTCATTGGTACCAGATAACAAAATAAGTACCTTCTGCTTAATACAGCGGGTGGGATCGTGGGATTGGAGTTCCCCGGCTAGAAAGTTAGGTAGGTTTCTTTGGTTGGTTAGGTCAGGTTCTATTAGGTCATAGTAAATGTCGTCTCTTTTATAATACTTACTTTAACAATAAGAACATCTGTGCAAAAAATTAACGATATTGAACAACTCCTTGTGGCAGCAGCGGTGTTCTCATAAGTTATTCTTGGCTCTGTCTCCACCATTACCACAGTTTTTCAGGCCTAAATCATAAACCAGTGTGTGTGGAAAAATTACCAATCTTAGTGATCCAACACCACTATACCTATCAATTATGATATTATTTATAATCAAGTGATAAACTTACATAAGGTGGCTGAATCAAACAAACAAATAAATTAAGTTATTAAAGCAAGACACACCATGGACCATACCTCTGCTGTCACGGGATACCTACTTTTTTTATGGTTATCAGATTGTATGATGACACCAATTATGAAGTTAATTATTGGATCTCGAACATGTATTATGGCAGGCGACAGTATATAGAGATTTCTACTGTAAACTCACTTTACCACAGCACAGGGCAGCTCTGTACCAAAACAAAAAAATCCACGTTTTATAATCATACTTTCCTTCAGATGAATTTAAAATTTCATTCAGAATATTACTACTGAAGGTGGGGCGTTTCTCTTACCTATAATCCCGTCTGACTCACTTCCTGTCAGACACAACACAACACAGCCCCTCACAGGTGATCACTAACACTCACCGCAGTCTATAGATATACTTTTAAAATTAAATATACCTTCCAATATGGAGTTTAAATGATGTATAAAATTTCAATATATCAACCCATTTCCAATTTTATTAGTATAATGGTTTTTTATTATGTCTATTTATACAAAACTGTATTACCTATAATACCTGTGGGAATATACATTGCTGGAACATCACACTGCCATCATGCGCGCTCAGTTTAAATTAAGCAGCACCTTTAGGGGAGAAAGTGAATTTGTCACACTAGTGACCCACGAGTCGTGGGTATACAATTATCGAACATTTGGCATTATTATCATTCTTGACTAAATCATATCGTCGTTTCTATGCATCATGCACAATTGCACTTAAAATTAGTTGCAAATCTCGTTACAAACACGTTATTCTAAGAGCAAATCGTGCATGTTGAAATTAAGTCAAATTTAGGTTTCAAAGCTCTCACTCCTTGTCCCCAGTCAAGACCATAATTATTAATCTACCACTATTCTACTTACCATTCTCGGGCCAGCCTTCGCAGTGAACGGACCTCTCTCAAGACCCTTCACTGCCAAAGCCAGCCAGCCTTTGTCTCTGACCCAGTAGCTGTAACATCATTGGTAACCGACCACCACTGGAAGCCTGTTGATGGCGACCCGCCTGTTACGGACTACGCATTAGACCACCACTCCAAGCCTGATCGCCCCTACTAGGGCACAGCGTAACCATACATCCCCCATCCCCCGCGAGCGCTCTGGACTGCCAGAGGCAGCAGAACTCCCCAAGGGTAGTGTAAGTGACCCACACTCCTACTGGAGGGCTGCTGTCGGTCCTGACGTGGTTTGGAGTCTTTCCCTCCCACTCAGTCTCTCCTCTTTTCGCTCTGGCCTGGAGACCTGCACCCTCAGAGGTGTATTCGTCCTCAGGTCCTCCCTGTAATTTTTCACCTCCCTCCCAGGAATTTGTGAAAAGGAAAGGGGGCCGGAGCCAATACCATCGCTGAGCCTTCCTGGGTAACCGTGATCGTGCAGGTCCACCCAGGGGGGGGGGGGTTGCTATCCCTCATCCTCCCCTCCCTCCAATTAGGTACAATAGGCTCGCGCCTCACATAAGCGAGCAACTTTAACACTAGGATAGTAGGTTCGCCTGTAGTGGATACCTCCCATACAAACTCTGTTTGTCGCTGAGTAGCCGACCCCGCGAGTTCCCCAGTGTATGCCTCGTGGTCTAGGTCAACCAGCGCCGACTTACATGACGGAGGTCAACTATTAAGCCACGCCTACCTCCGCTATTTAAGACCTGACCTCGTGGTGACCTCTCTCTTTCTACCTACTCCAACCAACACCTCCTCCTCCTCGGCTCCTGCCTGGCGGCTCTCGCTCCAGCCGGCGAGCATGGCGACCCACAAGCTGGTCCTCCTCTGAGCACCCTCACCAACCAGCTCTCTCTACATCACGCTTGTAACCACGCTGCCACTTCTCAGCACCAAGCTGCATTGTACATCCAATACAACATGTATACAGAGAGCACATTGTGAGTTTCCTTTCTCCATCCCATCCTGAGTGTGAACCCAACAACTCGTACCCCACACTCCTTACGGGGCCACCGGGAGACACACACACACACACACACATACGTACATACACATACACACACATACATACAGTGTTAAACAGAGGTGAACTGTGGTGAACAGTGCTTAAGTCAGTGAGAACAACTCAACAGTAACAGTCGTACCCAAGTTAACCTTCACACAGTGAGGTCCCAGGTACCCAGTGATAACGGCCTGTGAGACCCAACAACAACCAGCGATGTGTTAATCCGTCTACGATAGGAAGGCCTGGGACCACACCTCACTCATATAACACCATCTGTGATGGAATTACTACACCACGTCAGGTCCCTCATAACACCATCAGTGAGGGAATTACTACACCACGTGAGGCCCCTCATAACACCATCTGTGAGGTAATTACTACACCACGTGAGGTCCCTCATAACACCATCTGTGAGGGAATTACTACACCACGTGGTCCCTCATAACACCATCTGTGAGGGAGTTATTACACTACGTGTTTGCTGTTCAACACCTTCATTAATCTGTATGTTCACTGTATGTTCCTTTACCTTTCTCTAATGAAGGCTTTTGTTAAATCACCAATGTATGTAATAAGTCATTATGTCCAATGTATATTTTCAGCCTTCGGGCTGCAGAACTTTTTCAATAAACCGTTAATTATTATTATTATTATTATTATTACACACCTCTCCGGACGGATGACAACGAGAACGACGCAGCAATGACCAGGACTACGGGTAACAGGATAGGGTGCGCTCCCTTCGGGGAGGGGGTCCGACTAATTACCCAAATGTACCCAAATATAGCCGGAATGAAGTCAAATAATGGTCCTAGATGAATAAATCGGACTGCCAATCACTTCTCGACTAGTATTTGGTGTCAGAAAGTCACAAAAATTTGGAAAACTTACTTTAATCTGAGTTAATGGATCGCGTGCATGTACCGACGGAGCGAGGAATTACCCAAATGTAGTCGCAATGAAGTCAAATAATGGTCCTAGATGAATAAATCAGACTGCTAATCACTTCTCGACTAGTATTTGGTGTCACACAGTCACAAAAAATTGGTAAACTTAATTAAATCTGAGTTAATAGATCAAGTGCATGTACCTAACCTGACCTAACCTAACACAACACAACTCAGATTAAATTAAGTTTACCAATTTTTTTTTACTTTATGACACCAAATAATAATCGAGAAGTGATTTACAGCCCGAATTACGCTTGTACGACCATCATTTGACTTCATTGCGGCTACATTTGGGTAATTCCTCGCACCGTCGGTACATGCACGCGATTTATTAACTCAGATTAAAGTAAGTTTCTGCAGGAATACAATATACCCTTAATTGTGCTAAAACAAAAAGATGTTAACCTTCTTACCTGAGTGAAGTGCGTGGAGATGCCGGAAACGAGATTGAGAGAAATCTGTTTATGTGCATAAAAATTGCTGGTTGGAAGGGTCTACCCTTCCTCTAAATAAGATTGTTACTTTCATATATGCATGGTAGAAGAGTACACAAGCATCAAATTTTCCAAAGATGAACTTCACGTGAACCATACTACTATTGTAAAGTGGTACAACAATTATTTAAAAGGGAAGTCACCTTAAAATGTAAAAATAGAATCTAAGCTAACCTAAGTACAGGGGTACTGTAACTTTCTTGTTAATCAATTCCTCCAAATAAAGAATCATATTTTTGGAATCAGCATAAAAATCTACATTAGAGAAAAAATTTATATTTATTTATTTATTTTTTACTGTGGTAAATGAAACTGTAAATACCCAAATTTCATTACAGGGAAGGGGGTGCTGATGCCAACCTCAGTAATCTCTCACCTTATTCTGTGGATGAATTTACCCCTTGCCAGGATGACTTCCTTTATAATCACACCTACCAGCTATAATCTAAGTTAAATAATATATGAGTGCACTTATGCCCTTGTGGCAGGATAATAGTATTTAAAAGTCATTTAGTTGTTCTGCTGGTCTAAACAATGTTGGGAACTAATTAGAAATCCTTCCATTGCAGTTACTCAGTGTCGAATTTGTGGCAAAAAAAAAAAAACAGTCTTCAGCATTACATCTCAGTGCAGACCAATTCGCTCATTGTTGTCACTTAATAAAACCTTTGACAAATTCTGTAAATTCATCCTAACTACCAATGTCTTGGACACTATTTTACCATTATGTCCAAAATTTGTACCATATAAAATATCTGCTCTAGAAAAGCACCACTTCACTCACTCTATGAGGTGCGAGTTCCACTGTCTCATTCCTTACACCTACTAGCAGTTAACTTTGACTAAAACTTGGGGTGCAGCTGTAAGCAGTTTAGACTAGTTTAGTCTGTAACCAGTATAGTAACCAGAGTATTATACACGATGGATGAATAAATTTTCGTTGTGCATTTTACATTGACCCTCAGGGGTCAGAGATGTTTTCATAGCAAGCATGTAGTAAACACTTATTTAGCCTGCTCAGACGCAGCTGCTTTAGTGCCACGTACACGGTCTAGCAACAGTATGTCCACCAGAGATGTCTCAATATGACGATATCACCTTTGAAGCTCGTTACTTATTAAATTAATGACTCTTACTTGATAACTAGGTGCATTGATTATCACTGGTAAGACCTCCAAGCACTTGATGTAAATTATTAGTCAGATTAGTTTGATATTTGCAACGTCAATTAGATTAGTTTGATATTTGCAACGTCAGTTAAGGATGATTGGCTCTAACGAGATCATTTCCAGACAGCTATTTCAGTAAAGTTGCTGACACGGATTCAGGTGATTATGCTAAGGAATTGACTCATAACGACCCTTCTTGCTGGTAGAGGCTTCTAGAAGCTTGAACCCATGCATCATCCTTTCTGATGTCACTGTCAGTTAGCCCCGGGGTAGGTTCGCCCTGGAAGAGCTAGGCAGTCTTTAGCTGGACACCACACATTACTGATCTACCACTGAGCTGTAGACTGAGAGACTTTTTCAGTCCTAGTAGATCTAAACAGTATCTCTAACACTGCTCTCAGTCCCTGATCAAGTGGCCAGCCTCTCTGTAGATACAAGTGCAAATATATATACAGGGTATATGTACATATAACGACTTTTATCTGTCCACCCACCTCAGAGAAGTAAACTGAGACAGATGGTTTTGTAAAAATTTTTCTGCAACTTTCCCAAATAAATGTGAGTCCTCAGAAGAAGTCACAGTGAAGTTACAGGGAAGCTACACAGCTGACCTACATGGCAAGAGTCTGTGTACTCATTTTGATGGTCAGTTGGCCTGTGTGTGTAGGAGGCACAAATAAAGACCTAAAAATAAAAATAAATATATAATTAAAAATTAACCCCAATCTTCTAAATGCCATTTTGGTGTCATTAAATGCACTTGGGTTGTTCTTCGTGAGATCAACTGAAAAAGAAGCAATTGGATTTCTTAGATTCCTAACAGATATTGATAACCTTATTTTATTGACTTTTCTGGATGACACCCTTTCTGTTTTCTCACGTTATCAACAGAAGTTGCAGTCGGACAGTGTGTCTTGTGGACATTGGAAAGCACACATATAATGTAAAAAATAAACTATTTTCCTTGAATGAGATGCCATTACTAGGTGGCTGGGTTGCCACCTTGAAAGACCAGTTAATTCAAGGCGACTATGATGAACTGCACTTAAAAGGAGATGAACTACATAAATCAGCTGTTCGTCAGTGCAAGGAACACCACAAGTTTGTCACAGATCGCCTTGACAAAAGGGCAATCTAAACTGGAGTTATTAACTCATTGGTAGATTCTTGACATGGAACTTCTCAATTGAGGAAAACATTATTTCCATCATCAAGCCATTCCTTGCTTTGAGTCCAGATGCAGACCTGAAAGCTATGCAACATGCTATTTGTCTGGACTTGGACCTGGAACAATTATGACTTGAATATGGAGAGCTCATGGAACTAGACAAGCTGGAGAATATCCACAGAAAGAGCCTTTGCGACTTGGTTCACATGCTTGCTGCATCTGAGCATCATGTGATAATCATGAAATCACTTTCTTGAATATTAGCTGCTAAACCTCACATTGCTGATGTAAACCATCTGATGTCTTCTGGAAGGTCATGCATGAGTGTTGAGACAGAAAACCTGTATCTTTATGTCCAGTTGGCTCCACTCCTGCATTTACCACTTAGCATTGCCAATCCTCTCTCTCCCTGAAGTGTGAACCCCAAATACTGAACTATGAATTCAAAGCACTCGCCCAGTGAGCAGGAGGGAGAGAGAAAGGGTGTGTGGGATATGTGTCTTTCGGTGTGTGTGTGTGTGTGGGGGTCTGGTCATCATCACAAGTCCCCTTCACAGCTAAGGGGACTCCTGAAGGTGGAAGTGGAGACATCAATCTGAGGTGTAGGCTTTGTTCTGGCATTAAAGATGATGTAGCACTTTGGTAAGACTGGAGAGGTGTCAGATTAGGAGGGTCCTGCATGGATGGGGACCTCAGAAGTTGAGGGCTGTGGCTGTGACAGGGGCTTGAAAAAGGAGGTGATTGTTGTCTGATGTGCCTCCTCCTTCAGCAGGTACAGCTCCCTGTTGCACAACATGCCCCTCTCCACAAGTGCCCTCACAGAACTCCTGTTGAAGTTGGGGTCATTCTCAGCCAGCAGATCCATGGCAGTGTTCACATGGTCCATGGCAGAGCTCAACATCTTCAGTCAGTGTCAAGGGTGCAGGGTTTTCCTCCTCACCCGCTGACTCCTCCACTACCTGCTGCTCTTCCTGAAGCAGCAAGTCCTTGGTGCTGAGCTCCTCAGAGTGGCTCTCCAAGACATCTGCCACATCCTCCTTATCTACCCCCTCAAAACTGGCTTCTTTGGAGATGCCGGTGATGTCGTGGTGTACAGCTATAACACCTGTGAAGCTGCCAAAGTTGTTCACACACTCAGGCTACACTTTCCTCCACACACTGTTCATGTAGCTGTGTGACCTCCTTCCTCTCTATCTGTCACCTCAAACAGCTGCATCATCAACCGCCTCAGGTAATAGGCCTTGAAGGTTGCGTTGACGCCCTAATCTTTCGACTGGATGAGTGAGGTGGTGTCGAGGATAAGGAGAAACTTGTTTGGGGATGTTCTACTTGTCGGCATACTCCTTGAGGTGCTTGGATAGGTAGTTAACCACATAACTCTGGCACAACTTCGTTCTGACCCAGGCCTTCTTGTTAGAGCAGCTGATGACTGGTAGATGCTCCTTAAATCCTTTAAGAACATTATTCACAGGTGATGATCCCAATTATCATGTCACATTTTTGCATGCATGTGAAGATGCTATGCTGAAGAATGGTACAAAGCCAGGGAACGATGCTACAACTATTGTCCATTCTCACACAGGGCTTAATAGTTACACAAGTTGGATGATGAAGGGTAGTGCTTTCCTTCATACAGATTATAAGGAATTTAGGAGAAATATGATTAAATACTTTGATCATGGTGCACTTGGAGGTGATCTTAACTGGATTTTTAGGTGGGCTAACAGATCCGCTTCAGTTGGTCTGACACAGAACATGTTCATGAGTCAATCCCTGGCGGGAGAGAGGTTATGATGACATCGTCAAGCAGTTTTCAACCTCAGATTAGGTTGACGGTGACAAGAAAATGTGCACTTTGTTTATTTTCTGCGGGAACCTGAGTGCAGTCATGCAAAAAACATGAAGCTTACCAAGAAAGACGAGATTTCAAACTGTCCTTGTACCGTAAACCTGTATTTCCGGCTGAACAGACACCGACCGCCAAAACAGTTACACCAGTCGTTCCAGCTCAGCAACATATTTCCAAAGAGTCTGGCACTAGATCTAAGCAAATTACTGTATGCAAACATTGCAATAAGAAAGGACATATTATTGATTATTGTTACCAGCTCCTGCAAGGTGGTAAAAAACCCAAACACCACAAAAACCCTAAGGTATATTCAAGAACTCAACAAGACCCACCTCGGTTTTATTCAGCAGTTGCTAAGACCAAATCTGCTGCTGAACCTTCAGTTGATGTGTGGTATATATATTTCATGATTCTGCCTCACATGACTCATGAGACTGTATTGCTTTCCAATGGTGTAAAGATGCGAGGTATGATAGACCACTACAATGACAACCATGTCGCCAACAGTATAATCAGCCGGGGAAGACCAGTGCCATGTAGCACACGATGTAGGATAGGTACTCTCATGCCATCTCGATGCAACACTTCTATTGCCGCTTCCTTAATCGCTGCATTGACCAAAACAGAAGTGTTGTCTGTTCCAGCGAGAGTGAGTAACAACGCACTTTCCCTAGATATAGATGCAGGTGTATACGCAATGTTAACATCTTACCAAGAACTACAATGACGTTCACCTCACCGCAAGTTTCAAGTTACACCTATTGAAACCGATCTCTCAGGAGTTTCCCGTACCCAGCTGAACATTACGGGAGTGGTAACACTACCTCTACGCTTTTCTAAACGTGATAAATCATTTCTTACACATTTTTACATAGTCAAGACTTTAGCTTACCAGCTGACGGGTTAATCTGTCTTCCAATGCTTAAACACAATATGATAGATGTCCAGCCACTAACATGCTTCCACTTTTTGTGGCATTATCTATATTCCCACGCAAGATTCTGTTCCAATGCTTGACACCAGCATGTCCCAGACCCTACCAAATCTTTTAACCGGCATAATTTTAGCAGCAAAAATTGAATTGTCATACCTGCAGTCTTAACAGGTACTCAGCATTTTCAGAATGAGATAACCAGAACCACTGTCTGGTTGCCAGACTTTTCACCGGGACAGACGTCATCTGTTGTATGGAAACTTCCAGGGTTAAAGGTCCTTCATGTGAATCTAAATTTGAGTACAATTCAGCCACGTGGTTTAACGGATGTTCTCGTTCTCAATAGAACAGGTGCTCCCAAAATCAGTCCAGATAGGAGAGTCATGTCCAGACCCCCTACAGATTTGCTTTTTTCAGATATTTGCTTTATCTTGACTGACATCAGCCCCAATTATTACAGTGTGTGGGGTAATGTAATGATTAATTATGTTAAATAATGTAAAAAAAAAAGTTCTTGTAAAATAGAAAACCTTTACAATTTATTGAATCAAGAAATATCATGGTAAATGAGTATAATATGAAGTTAACTAACAATATCTATTAAAATAAAATATAACATGGTAGGAAAATTTTCAGAATAAATATCAATAGTTTCTTATTACTTCAAAACTTTAGTGTAACTTACACTCACGTTCTTACTATTTGTCAGAGTAATATATATTTTTTTCAGCCCTAGCGTCAAATGAAGATTTATTACCAACAACTGGGTCAACTGATTTTCCACTAAGATTTAATAGTGACTGTACTTTAGGAGTCTGTACCAGTTATGCTCATAAGGCAACAGCATAGATCAAATCTTAAAAAAAAATAATAATACAGTAATTAAATTAAATAAAATAAAATAATAATAATACAAAATGAAAATAAACTCTGCTACTTCTTGCTCTTCCCTGCCAATTCCAAACCTCGGATGTACTTTCGAGGTAAGTGGTAAGTTTCTGTAATAGAGAATAGGAAGTTACGATCATATACTGTAATTATAATTATGACATGATTTTTTCTTTTACTATTGTAGCAAACCCATTCTTGCAATAATGTAACTGGCTAAAAGCACAAGCAAACACAAATATTCCCTCATTTACTGTCAATCACCCATTCCCCTTCCCAGGTGTGTTATGTTGTGGTGTTCATAACATAGTTTTTGTTGCATCAAAAGAATCTAGTAACGTACCTATATCATACTGTACACTAATAATTTGGCGATGACCCCCATAAACCACTCAACGCCCTGTTTCCTATTGCAGGAATACCTCACTATTTATAACCCCAATTATTCACAGATGAAAAATTACAATACCCTACAGTAATATTTCAAATTGGGAGGGCTAGTAGCAGTTCTCATATTCCACCGTAAGGCCCATTTCCCACCAGAGCATTTTTTATTCCACATGTGCGGAACTGTGCGGTTTAGAAATTAATGAAGTTCAATGGGACAAAGAACACACATGAAAATTCACACATGGGAGATGCTCACCCCTCCCCTGTACCTGTACTTCCAAACCACGGTATTTTAGAATTCTTCGTATGATGAGCACAGGTGCTCCTCTACTTGAGAACGTTCAACTTACAAACTTTCAGAGATACAAACATTATCACTGAGGGGGGGTTACCTGCCAGAACAGGTGTTTAATGTGGATGAGACTGGATTATTTTGAAGAAAATTCCAGATAGAACAAACATTACCTAAGAGGAGAAGAGCGAGCCAGGTTTTAAGGCTGTATTTAAAGAGTATAGCTGTACTAAATATCCACAATCTTTTTATTTTTTACAATGTTTGGTATCTAATGGTGGGTAGTGTGAAAATACTTAATGATCATGGAGATATATATCCTTGATAAATTCCTACTTTTACAATGAACCACTTTCTTTCTTCCTGACACTCAATCACATGCTATACAGTCATCCCTTGGTTATCATGCCTAATTGGGATAACGAAAAACGAGATAACGAAAGTACAGAACCTATGGGATTTATACTAATTGGTTCCAGGCACCCAAGACCCAACCCCAACTTTCCCATCCATTGTGAGTGATGTTGAAAGCTTCAACTGTCTTTATGGTTGGTAAAACTTGTCAAATATGTGAGTGTCAAGTCTGTCAGTATGAGTGGCATGTGTGAGTGCTTGTGTTTATACAACCGCTTTCAAGTTTTGTTACCTCCATCCATTTTCATCCATCAAATGTGTTTTTGTCAATTTGTAGGTGAAAGATTTTATCCTCAATAGATGTTGGTGAAGCAAGGGGGTAACAATACACCTGGAGGCAACTGTGTCATAACTAAATTCTCAGCCTAAAGATATATATAATGTTATGGTAATTGTCAGAAACACACATAGGCATGGCTAGGTTTATTACAAAGTGATGAAAAGGGTATGCTCAATACTGTAGTCCACAAAACATGTAGCTATGCTTTCTTTATTTGAGTCCCCCGTCACAGGAGTCCGTTTTCTCTCGCTTCAGGATGCCTGAGTCCTCCGTTTTCTTTCAATCTTAAGAGTGCACCCGAGACTTCGTTATTCCTTAGTAATGACACAATTTGAAATTGCAACCCTTGAGGCAACTAGATATGTCTGATTACAGCAAATGTGTTATTGTCAATTTGTAGGTGAAAGATTTTATCCTCAATAGATGTAGGTGAAGCTACGGGGTAACATTACACCTGGAGGCAAATGCATGATAACCAAATTCTCGGCCTGAAAAATGCGCTATAACGGCAGGTGTGCAGATTTTGATGGAGGCGTGATAACGAAAATTGCGATAACCAAGGGATGACTGTAATCATAATAATAATAATATTAATAATAATGGATGCCCCTCGTGAAATGAGAATGGTCGGCTCAAGGGCCACCTAGGCATGAATTTGTTTAAGGTGTAGAAGCTGTCGCCAACAGAACAACCACACCCTGAGTTAATGAGTTGCATGACCCAGTGTCAAGGAATAGTCTGAGAAGACCGGACAACTTGCCAACTGCACTGGCTCACCATTACCCTGGAATACGATCTGCAAATCAATTAACATCCAGGTCCCCAATTACTGCTAGGTAGACAGAGGCAAATGGCATAAAGAAACTTGCCCATAGTTTCACCCTGCTACACACTCTCTCTCTCTCTATGAAGCCTCCGGATAGAACTTGCCCTCTTCCCAACATAGTGCTACACACTCTCTATGAAACCTCCCAACAACACTCAGCAATTTCCTAATTACTTCCCCCAAAAAATTTTATATCAACAATCATAGACAATAGCTTTCCTAGGTCAGAATACACCACATATTCTTCCCATTCTCTAGGTATTCTCCTCTAATTCTGGTATTCTTTAATGCAATCACCTGATCCACATATCTTTTTCCAAGTCACAATGTCCTTACCCTAATACATTCTTTGATTGTAGTAGAAATTACAGTACAGGGTGTGTCTGTACACCTTACCATGCATTTTTTTTCTATTTACTGTTTTCACTCTTTCATGTGTCTATGTGTGAGAGAGAAGAGGAGGGAAGAAGAGATATGCAAGTGTGAAGAGATGGAGGAGAGAAGAGAGATGAGAGTTGGAGGTGAGAAGAGATGGAGGAGTGAAGGGATAGAGGAGAGAAGAGATAAAGGAGAGAAGGGATAGAGGAAATAAGAGATAAAGGAGAGAAGGGATAGAGGAGAGCAAAGATGGAGGAGAAAAGTGATAGAGGAGAGAAGAGATAAAGGAGAGAAGGAATAGAGGAGAGAAGAGATAAAGGAGAGAAGGGATAGAGGAGAGAAGAGATGAAGGAGAGAAGGGATGGAGGAGAGAAGAGATAAAGGAGAGAAGGGATGGAGGAGAGAAGAGATATGCAAGCAGAGTTGGAGGTGAGACGAGATGGAGGAGTGAAGGGATAGAGGAGAGAGAAGATGGAGGAGAAAAGTGATAGAGGAGAGAAGAGATAAAGGAGAGAAGGGATAGAGGAAAGAAGAGATAAAGGAGAGAAGGGATGGAGGAGAGAAGAGATAAAGGAGAGAAGGGATAGAGGAGAGAAGGGATGGAGGAGAGAAGGGATGGAGGAGAGAAGGGATAGAGAAGAGAAGGGATAGAGGAGAGAAGAGATAAAGGAGAGAAGGGCTAGAGAAGAGAAGGGATGGAGGAGAGAAGAGATAAAGGAGAGAGGGGATGGAGGAGAGAAGGGATGGAGAAGAGAAGGGATGGAGAAGAGAAGGGATAGAGACAAGAAGAGAGATTACTTTGACTCTTTTTCCGCGGCAAAACAAACCAAAGATAGACAGTTTACTTACCTAAGAGAAGCTTTCCAACAAAAGCAACTTGATTTCCCTGGATGAGGACTTGGGTAGTTCCTTGGGGCTTATGTTCTGCTGGTCCAACACTAGTACTAGCAGCAACTCCAACCTGGATTTGGTGAGCAAATTCTGCCTCATCTATACCATATATGCTGGCATTGTACACTAATGTTACCTGTAAAATACAAATTATGTAATTTATAGTCACACCATTCCATTATAAATCCATTTTTGTGCTCTCTCTCTCTCTCTCTCTCTTCCTCTCATCTAGGAGTGCTGGGTATCAAACCTGGGCCACCACAAATGGCAGGTGGCAGCTTATCCACTGAACCATATAATATAGTTCCTGATATATTTTCAACACTGTTGTGCTGGAAACTTGATTAAAAAGCTGTCTAGAACCCAAATGTGGGCTGCAGTGCCAAATTTAGACCTGTGGAGGCCCATGGGCAGCCTCTTTGTGGAGGCCCCCCTCATTATAACTGCCCAAGAGGGCTGGGTGGCGAGCGAAGCGAGCCTAAACGTCTGGGAGTTCCGGGGAGCGCTGTAAGCCACCCGGGAAAACTTTGAAATTTGAACACTTCTTTGGAGAATTTTGAAGCCATTTGCAATTACATTAAAAATATACAGTTCATAGGAAATCCAGGTATTCATGAATTTCATGGAGTAGCTAGCCTAATTTCTATCACGCTTCTTGCTGAACATAGTTTTACGTTATGGAATAAATAAACATGAATTTTAAAGAATGAAAATAAAAATAATCCAAATGAATAAACAAAAAAATAAAATATTGTAATATGTGGAGGCCCCCAGATTGTGGAGGCCCCTGGGCAGCTGCCCACTTTGCCCACTCCTGAATCCGGCCCTGGTGGGCGGGCTGCCCCAACCCTATGGCTCACAGTGAGTGGGCAGGGAACCTAAGCTACATGAAAGTAGTTAAGGTGGGGGAATTTTTTTAGCCCATCATGGTTCAGTAGTGGCCTGGGTTCGATACCCTGCAGTTAAAGGTGATTATTGTTTAAATTGATTGACCTGTGTATAGCATTTTTTATGAGAGTTATATATACAGTAGGGTCGGGATATATCGCGACTTTATATAATGATTTTTTTTATATGGGTGAGGGAAAGAAACTACAGGTTTACCCTCTCTTTTATGTCATTCTTTCCACCACGAATTCTCAATTAACAGCAGTGTAATAAAAAGTATTGTCTGGCAAAGCTCCCAATTAACGGCATGTTTAATAACCATTTAATTGTCTGGTTGACCATTTAGCAGCATGCATGCCTGCTGTTCCAGGCCCAGAGTTTGTTTACCCCTAATTCACATTATGTCTTTAGCAACAATTAATATCCCTGACTCTAATTCTCCTAAAAGGAATATTGTACAGTAGGTTTGGGATATATCGCGACTTTTTATATATAAAAAATTATATGGCGACAACCAAAATTTTCGAAATTTTTTCCAATTTATAGCAATAAATTTATTTATTTCGCGAGGGAAATCGGGCAGGAAATATTTCAAATGTACCGCCACAGCAAAAAAATACGTTATTTGCTCACCAGAGGCGCCACCGTGGCTGCTCACCCACGCATTCATGCTCGCCCGCTCAGTCCTTCTGAGTGAGTGACGAGTAAGCAGCCGACTCTGCTGCAGATTATGACTTCTAAGGTGAGTGTAAATGGGTAACTAGTGACGTGAAAAGTGAAGTGAAGAGAATGGAAAGCTTAATGGAATAGATTTAATACTTTAACTAATATTTTTGGTTTGTTCGTTTATGTAGATGTGGAACTGTCAAGTGGGGTTGGCAGTGTGGCGTCTGCTGCCGAGTCTGGTGTACCCAGGATGGTGCGTCAGCTGCCGAGTCTGGTGTACCCAGGATGGTGCGTCAGCTGCCGAGTCTGGTGTACCCAGGATGGTGCGTCAGCTGCCGAGTCTGGTGTACCCAGGATGGTGCGTCAGCTGCCGAGTCTGGTGTACCCAGGATGGTGCGTCAGCTGCCGAGTCTGGTGTACCCAGGATGGTGCGTCAGCTGCCGAGTCTGGTGTACCCAGGATGGTGCGTCAGCTGCCGAGTCTGGTGTTCCTTGATATTGAAACAGTCTGTTGTTCCCGAGTCTAGTGTTCATTGGTGCTTTAGTTAGTAAGAAAATAAACTCGTTAAGTCAAGATTAGTCACTTTTTTGGCCTCCAGAACCTAACCCTATTTTCCCCATAGATTACATGTAATTTTATATTGCGATTTAGTATATAGCGAACATCGTTGGACCCTATCTCGCGATATATCCCGACCCTACTGTATTAGTAAAGTTTAGCTCATGAAAAAATTGGATCAGAGGTTCTGATCACAAGCTGTGTGAGATGTATGCTCTTGGTTCATCTACGCCATACGGTGAGCAATTTGAAAAAGCAGAAAGAAAAACATCTTTATATTAATGCATAAAATTGTCTCTTCCCATTTTCATTCATTCCTAGCACTCCATATTTACCCACTTGGAGGAAAAGTTTAAGTTAATATCTTAACATATAAACTTAATGAAACATGCACACAAACCTTCTTGTTGCCACTTCTCTTGGCTACTGCCAAGTCTATGGGTTCTAGTTTGCCTTTTCTGATAACTGGGACAGAACCATGTCTGGTAATTCTCACTGCTGGTGCCATTTTTCCCAACACGCGAGAAAAGATTTCATCCCACCGCAAGGTTTCCTTGTAGCCTTCTTTCCTGTTGACTACTGCTTCATGCAGAAGAGGGTCAAGGTTAACTGTCCTGCAACAGAATCACTACATAAGTCACTACCGTATTTTTCGGCTTGGAAGACGCACCCTGATTTTGGAAAAGTAATTCTAGGAAAAGACTTTTGATATTTACTAACCAACACCAGTGAAACCTTGCTTGATAAACAGCCCTTTTGGCACAAGTACACACACCTTTTTGAATATCATCACTTAGAACTGCTTATCAGTTGTCATTTTCATCAATATAAAAAAAAAATCTTTATAAGAAATGGAAATCTTTAATACAGCACTCATCTTATACACCTGGTCACCTCCGCATCTAGCGGGCTGTAGTGTTTACATTCTTTCTCTTTGTTTTTGTCGGTATGACAATGACGGGAAATATTTTCCAACAGTAGAAGGTAAGCAAATGTAAACATGTATATCAACGATTAAATAAAAAAAAAATTTTATATAAAAAAATAAATATATAAAACTAAAAAAACAACTCGGTAAAAATCAGTTGAATTAAAATTTTTGGTAAGCAAACAATAAAAATCACAAAAAACTGTAAATCTCTAAATATCGTGTCCAGTAAAACAGTCAAAAGCATTTTATTCATCTCAAATCCTGGTTTATTAGGATGTTGCTTTATTACAGGTAGTAATTCGCTCAAAAAAGTACTGATAAGGTAAATAAGGCAAAATTTAGCCAAACATCGAAAGTACCAGACTCAAATCAATTTTCTCCATAGGAAGTTGCACTGTATTTCAATTTGGACGATTTGAATTTTGCGAAGTTTTTACAGACTACAGTAGGTTCTCAAATTTCGTGAGTTTTTAATTCGACGTTTTATATTTGGACACACAAAAAAAACAAAAATACGCCATACAATTTCAAATTTCGACTGCGGAAACTCAAATTTCGATAGGTTTGAGCGGCCCGCCAACGTTCAGAAGTGCATAATCGTGTAAGCGTAATTTCTCTTATGTACAAAGATTCATTATTGTTTATTATTTAATTTATTTTTGATTGAATTAATGTTTGTGTGTGTAAAATGAACAATACAATTCATTAATAATACGTAGAATATTAAAACACACGAGGAGACGAGACGGCATTGTTTTCGTAAATGTTTACAAAACCAGTGACTGATTGGTTCTACATATAAAACTGAAGAAAATAAGACCTTGGTTGTAGCTGTAGTAAAATTAAAGTAAAAAAATTAATATGGTTGTTTTAAGTAATGTTATTTAATGTTAATGAATGGAACAATGGAAGTAGCTAACCATTAATGGTAAAGAAAAAAGTGAGATCGCGTATGTAAGTGAGCACATGTGAAAACATATCGTCATTACTCTACAGAAGAATATGAAAGCAACACTTATTTACTGCTCATATATATTGAAGGGTTAAATGTTGTACTCTCTCCACCCTGGAAATGCCATTCATCAATGACCTCCACCACCATGCACTAGCAGGGTTTGGCAGTGGACTACTGCACCATACTCGTCATCACCACCTACTGCCACCTGCAGTCCTCGCGCAGTCCGCCACTACAACAAAATTCAGCCCATAAAAGCCCACACTTATAGATAAAAGAATAGCACCATCCCATCTATCATTAAAATAATAAACAGCGCCTGATTTATGTACTGTACAGCCCTGTAAATGTATTGAACGTATATCATTATGTCTAAACCACATGTAACTTTGTATATTTTCAGCCATCGGCTGCAACTCTATTAATAAACAAGAAAATAAGACCCCTGGTTGTTGTTATAGTAAAATTAATGTAACAAAATATGTATGTTTTAATTAATGTTATTTAATGTATAGTAAAAGTAACCACTGATGTTAAAGAAAAAAGGGAGTGATAGTGGAACAGCAATGTGTACTTGCACCTTCAAGTAAACCGCGTCATTTATCTTATTAAGAATATGCACAAAAGATTCATTATTGTTTATTACTGAATATGCATTTGATTGAATTAAGGTTTATATATGTGAAATGAACATTGCAATTCATTAATAATATGTAGAATATTAAAACACACAAGAGGAGACGAAACGGCATCGTTTTCGTTCATGTTTAGAACACCAGTGACGAATGATGATGGTTCTACTTCTACATAAGAAACTGAAGAAATAAGACCCGGGTTGTTGCAGTAGTAAAATTAATGTAAAAAAATAAATATGTATGTATTAAATAATGTTATTTAATGTTAATAAATGGAACACTAGAAGTAGTTAACCATTAATGGTAAAGAAAAATCAAAATAGATTGGGAACGCCATCATATGTAAGTGCGTACAGTATATGGTATGTGAAAACATCATCATTTCTCTACATAATATAAAAGCAATACTTATTACTGTCCATATATAGTATGTTTTAAATAATACTTACTTATGTAAAACAAAAATTCTCCTCACAAATGGTGGTAAAGTGTAAAACATAAGGAGAGCCAATAAATATTGTGCAAGAGTTTACTCAGATGACTTCGTCAGTCAGGTTCAACTCTGGCTGAAGCTGAAGCTTTCCATAAAGATATCATAGCTGTTGCTGAAACTGTTACTGAAGCTGAAGTTGGTGGTTTAGGCCTTTGAATAATAAAGCTGTAGAAAGAACCTTTCACAGCCGCTTTTTTCTCATTATACATCTTTATATAGAGGTCATATGCGTTTTTCACGTCCCTGTTAATTTTAATGCTTTGTTCTGTTAATGGATCCACTTGAGAAATATATTCATTGCTTGCTCCATATAATATCCACAGACCTCTCACCTTTTTCATATCGTTTTAACACATCTAGTTTCTCCCCTAAGCTTATACACTTTTTCTTTTAGCTTTTGAACCAGCACTATCATCACTTGCTCTCTTGCTCATGTTGAATAGGGATGCCAGAAATGCCATAAGAAACCTGAGAATGTTTTTCTCATTTTCCTGTTCAGATGCGTGAAAACAAAGGGCCCGCCAGCTGTGATTGTTTATGCTATTGATGCTGGCGTCACCACTAACAAGCCCAGCAGCCTCCGTGTGTAAAGCGTGTTTTTTATTTTTTATTTGTATAATACCTATCGGGCTTTAGTTATTATTTATAAGAAAAGTAATTTTACTTTTTTTTTCAATATTTTTGCAGTAAATACAAAGAAAATAATGGTGTAAACTGAATTGGGTCCTAAATTAGCCAGAGTCTTAAATATGAATTGCCATTAGTAGGACCGTCGTTATGGGAGGCTTTCCTGTATCTAATTACCGTCGTCTAAAACGAACAAAAACCTGAAAAATTATAAATAAGGAAATGGTTGACACATTACAATCATAAAATAAGGGTCCTCATCTATTACTCTTTCAAGCATGTAAACCTAAGATAATATTATGAAAATTTTTTCACCCTTCCTCCTTTCATGAATTTTTCCTGCTTTCTTCAATCCCTTCCCACTCTGATGAGCAACTTGCATCGCATACCACTCTCCCCCCCCCCCCCCCCCCCCAACAAGACCATTCTCTTCATCCCACTTGACTTACCGTGGAGAAAGGACCCGGCCAAGCGCAGAGGTTAGGTGGTGAAGTGGGATGATTACTTTTGACTGCGACTGTACATGGTATCTAACTACATTGTCATCTTGCATGTTTGTCTCACTGATCCATCTTATTTAATTTTTTCATTGATTTGTCTGAGGTTCAGTATTTATGGTACATCAATGTAAAATGTAAAATATTTAACCGAATTAAATTTTTTGGAAAAGCTCTATCAAGGAGTCAATATTTACCCGGTACTCCTCAATAGTGTAAAACAATGGTATTGACCACTGACATAAATTCAGCTTGACAAGTGTCATTCTCAACAAACTGAAGACAAAATGTAAATGAAGACGCATAACGTGTGTAACTGGTAGACGTGTTTTAATATCAATTTCTAAATACAGTACAGTGGTCCCTCAGTTAACGAACACAATTCGTTCCATAGAGTCGTTCGTTAACCAAATCCATTGTTTCAATGGGATATTGGGTAATTGGTTCCAGCTCACAGAAAAGTAGATACAAAGTAAAAAAAAAAAAATGCAGTACGGGTAAAGTACACTTACTTTGAGGTGTGTATGTAGAAGGTTCCTGGTTGATGATGATGATGGGAATTAGAAGTGGGGGTGGAGGAGAAGGGAGAAGAGAAGGAAGTGGGGATGTAGGAGAAATCATCTTTCAGGGGACCCATGCTTGATGCAGTAATTTCACCAATAAAATTTTAAGTTCACTAGGTGTAATTCAAGATTATTTTATTTTTAAATCAACACTGCACTGTGCTATATATTATCAATATGTTTACTAAAGTTCAGAATGACCAATAATTTCAATGAAAAATGCAAAAATATTCAAGACACCAACAAAATAGATGTTCACTCTACTGTCAACAAAGCCCAACTGACGCCTGGTGGCTGAGTCAAGCAGCTGATGGCGCATAAAAAACTACTACCCTGTACTGCATATATTATCAATATGTGAACTAAATTTTAAAATGACTAATAATTTTAATATAAAAAATGCAAAATATAAAGGGCACAACTTTCTTGATATTTACTCCACTGGAAATGAATGTATACATAGAATAGATTACTGAATTGGCAGACTAGCCCATAAGCTGATCAGCTGATGCTCACAACAAAGCATGTTGTTCGTAAGGATTTCGTTAATCGAAGTTTTGTTCGTTAACCGAATTGAAGATCCTTATGGGAGCTAATTCGTCAACCGAAATTTTGTTAATCGAACAGTTCATTAAATGAGGGATCACTGTACCATGAAAAGTACAAAAAGAAAAACTTACTTTTGGCCTTCTTTCTGAAGACCCTTGCTTCTTATGTATTCTGTAACTATGCTTCTTACTTCTGCCGTTGATAACACATCGCCTTTACTGTATCAAAGAATTAAAGGCAAATATATAAACAGTTACAATGCAAAAAAATCAACCATTCAAATCTGTCATAAAACAAGGACAAATGCCAAATTTTGAAAGAGTTAATCCATACATATTTAAATTACTGGCCCTGGAAGTTCATCTGTACTTTATGGACAAGTCAGAACAATAATAATTAATATAAACATCATGTCTATGGGTTGCAGACAACATTTATTCTCAACACCAATGACTAGTACTGAGTGAATAATTTATAATAACCTTCCATCACAACATTGCCCTTAAAATGGGACATTTCAAGGTTACCACCTAAGACTGAGACCCTGATCAAGTACTGTACCGATCTCCCAGTATCATGATCAGCACACCCTTTTTCAGTGCATTTTTATACCATTTAGAAAAGCCTAGGTTAAACAATTATTTAATTTCCTTTCAGCCTGTTTTCTATGGGAGGTATACAGATGGCATTCCCTTTTTTCAGACTGTTCACAATTTAAAAGGTAAGGTTATTCTAACTCTAAACATTCAAACATGAAACTCTCTTATCAGATTACTGTGTATCAACTCGACTATAAAATATATACGGTAATACCCCATTTAGCACTCGGCATACATTCCTGGATAAAAGAGTGCTCTGCAAAACAGCATTCTAAGGGGTCATTACTGTATACCATTACATTGCATATGAGGAGCTCCAGACCATAACCTGCTAAGAGCCATATGTCGCTGAAACATGTTATGTATTGTACTGTATTCCCCAACCTCTCCTCTGTCACCTGGGTAAGTCAGAGAGCCAATTGGTAAGCCGTACATGTGGGTGAGAGTCCTCTGAAAAGACTTGTGCCAGTCACACATTCCTACCTGAGCATTTTCCTCCATTTTCAATTTAGGCACTTCACAGATTATGGTTTGCAGCTCCTTATATATGGAGAGGCATTCCTGATGATGTTATTTTTCACCTATGAGATATACAGTGAACTTTACTAAAGAATGAATAACCAATAAATAATAGAGCATCATGGATAAAAGTCATTAGATGAACGAGTGCCTGGACTAGTAAAGTATTTATTTGTTTATTTATGTCCTTTAGATTGAGTTTTTGTTTTTTGCTTATAAAATGTCATAGAAGTGACCAGGAAGAATATAATTTACATTGCTGGAATTCTTATAAGATAGTGATTAATTTGAATGTAAACATGCTATAGTTTGCACTAGACAAAAATTTTAGTAAATTATTTTGTACATTATTTTGATTACATGTACAGTACAGCTTTGCCCTTATGACAGTGTGTGCATATAAATGAGTTTCAATAAATGAATAAAGTTACATATATCGAGCCAAAAATATTAGTTGTAAAACTATATGTACACAGAGCTTAGATGGCTAAATTTTAGAATGACCAAAAATTTTAACATAAAAAATGCAAAAGTATTCAAGAACACAACCTTCTTGATATTTACTCCACTGGAAACGAATGTAAACATAGAACAGATTATTGTACAGTATTGGCGGACTAGCCGATCAGCTGATGCTCACAACAAAACGTGTTTGTCGTAAGGATTTCGTTAACCAAAGTTTTGTTCATTAACCGAATTGAAGATCCTTATGGGAGCTAATTCGTTAACCGAAATTTCGTTAATCGAACCATCCGTTAACGGAAAAGGGAAACAATGGAGCACCTTAGCTTTCGTCTTTATTCAAGACATCTTCAGAGGCAACTGAATTTACAAGGACTGAGAGAGGCTTATATACCAAGGGTGACCTTACAAAACATCAGGTCAGGTTAATAACATGGGATCCACTAATCCACACACCACCTCCACCGCACATGAAAGAAGAGCTTATAAAAATAGGCGACGTAACAAGTCATGTCAAGTCAGGTAAAAAATATGAGACCCACTATTCATCTATCCTACATACCTCAAATGCTTTCAAAGCATTTTTAACCTTGGGCCACTGACAAATAAATTTATGTAAAATATTATCAGTTTTGTACTGACCATCACTAAGGTTTATAGAATTCATATTATTTGTGATTTGTAAATCAATTACTTAGCAAAAGTGCTTAAAGTCCAAAAAAGGAGGTTAAAGGTTAAATTAAATGCTTTGTTTGACGAGAGTTACTGGACTAAGCCGAGTGATCCAAATTTGTTCATAAACTTATCATCTTATGAACTACAGACAAATGCAAAACTTGTGCTTGGTTTTGGTAGGATGTTTTCTATTGCTCAGCGCACTGTTAATCCACTTACTATTGCTAAAGGTATAATCAAACTGGAAAAGAATAAGTCGATAGATGTTACAAATGAAGATATTTCCATAGCTAAAGGTTGTATACAAAGTGCTTTAAGTAAGAATATGGTTTCAAACATTCCAAAAAGATTTGAAACAGCCTTGAAAAACTTGAAAAGTAATGAGAATATCCATATTACTAAGGCTGATAAGTCCAATGCTATTGTAATTTTGGATAAAAGTGACTATATTGATAACATGAATTCCTTACTAACTGATAAAATCACTTATTGTGTGCTTAGAAAAGATCCCCTGGAAAATATTAGTAAGTTATCTAATTCTAAAACGAAGGTGTTATTGAAAAAGAACCCACCCAGATCTCATCAAACAGTTCTCTCAAATAAATCCCACTTTACCTTTTATGTATGGATTGATCAAAACACATGAGCCTAATTATCCATTACGTCCTATCGTGAGTTCTGTGGGTTCTGTTACTAACAAATTATGCAAGTGGATGGTTAGAATGCTCTCCCCTCTTACAGGCCAGATATCTAATTCGCATATACTGTACTGTAGTAGTACGTAACAGTAGTGATTTAATTGATAAACTCAAGAAACACAATGAACCATGTGAATTAATAAGTTTTATGTTAATTCACTTTTCACTAGAGTACCAGTGAATGACCTACTTTCATTCCTTAAAGATAAATTGCATCTGTTAGACTTGACTATTGAACATGATATATTTCTCAAATTGATAGAGTTATGTGTTACTGACAATGTTTTTAGAGCAAATGGAAAGTTTTACAAACAAATATTTGGCATGAGCATGGGTAATTGTCTTTCTGCTCCTTTAGCCTGTAATTATATGGACTTTTTTAAAATTAAATATTATTTTATTTAAACATGGCCTCCATCCACCCCCAATAGCCACACCTTCGCCGCCATTTCATTACCTTAAAATTAAATATCCTAATACTGTAAATAAGTAGATTACTACCCAACATATGTGATTTTATTCCTCCATGGTATAGATAATGTAAATGATTTTCTTTGTCTTTGGCCTAGAAACAGGGACCCACTGAAATTTTTAGACAAACTTCATGATCTTGTCCCTAGTATTACCTTAAAAATTGAAAGAGAAATAAATGGATCACTTCCATTTCTTGATATACTTATCATGAAAATAGTCACAACAATAAATTTAAGGTGTACAGAAAGCCTACACAGGCAGAAAGTTTCATAAATTTTTTATCGAGTCACCTTGAGTCTACCAAAATGTCAGTTTTTTCTGCTATGTTTTTGAGATGTTTGCATATTTGTGACCTGAATTTATTGAAGAAGAACTGAAACACATTCAGTTCATTGCACAAAATCTTGGGTACCCTTCATTGTTTGTTGATCGTTGACTTAAAAGGGCAAAAAAATCCTTTTATTGTATTCAAATTAGACAAGTTCCTACATTTAAGAATATTTTGACTTTACCTTATCGCAATGAATTTATCCCATTTGTTCAATCCCTTAAATTATTTTACATTAATGTTGTTTTTAAGCATGACTCAATTATTACTAAGATGTTAATTAAGAACAGCCCAACCTTGATTGTAAATGGAAGTGTTTACTGCATTCCATGTAGCAATTACAATGGAAATTATGTAGGTCAGACTGGGAAGGCATTGCAACTTACAATAAAACAGCACAAGTATAATAATAGAACAGCATCTGAAAGCAGTGCACTTTTCGTTCATATGAGGAACAATAATCATCCCATGGATTGGGAAACAGCATAGAAGTGTTTAAATCAACATGTGTCACAGAAAGACTTCTGGTTGAAGCAACTTTGATTAGAGAAATGAATTCTATAAACCTTAGTGATGGTCAGTACAAAACTGATGTTACATATATTTATTTGTCAGCGGCCCAAGGTTAAAAATGCTTTGCAAGCATTTAAGGTAGATGTAGGATAGATGATTAGTGGGTCTCATATTTATTACCTGACTTGACATGACTTGTTACATTGCCCATTTTTATAAGTTCTTCTATCGTGTACGGTGGAGGTGGTGTGTGGATTAATGGATCCCATGTTAGTGACCTGACGTTTTGTAAGGCCACCCTTTGTTTATAAGCCTATCTCAGTCCCTGTAAATTCAATTGCCTTTGAAGATGTCTTGAATAAAGACGAAAGCTACGGTGTTACATTGTTTCCCTTTTCCTGTGTGGTTACGCACACACACGCACAGTGATATCTCCGTTAGCCGGAACAATTGGTGCAGGGCACTTCCGGGAATGAGAGATTTCCAAGTAACGAGACAACTCTCTCAAAGCCGGAAAAAATCTCTCATCCCCGGAATTTTCCGGACTACGGAAAAATGTTCTCATAAGTTCCAGAAATTGCCCATTACATCACCTCTCGAACCCTGAGAAATATCCCCCATACCCGTAATTTTCCAGGTATCAGGAAAATTTTCTTATAGTTTTCTGGAAAATGTGACCCTCGGAAAATCGTTCCCAAGGCCGGAATTTTCTGGAAAATTCCGGCTTTAGGAATGATTTTCTGAGAAAATTTCTATTCCAGCCATCAGAGAGTTCCGGGTTTGAGGGATTCCGGTTAACAGAGATATTACTTGTGTTATTTCATAAGACAAGTAATGAACACAGTACAGTACTCATTTCTTCCACTAGTTATTATATACCCTGTACATACCTTAGGCCATTAGCTTTAAAAAATTGCACCGTTTCTCCTGACACTTGGTTAACTTCTTCTATAAGAGGAGGTATGAATGTTCTGGAATTATCTTTCTTGTTGACCTCAGGCTTTATGCTTGTTTCTTCCTGGAAAATCATATCAAATGTAAGAAAATTTAGTTTCCCTGATACAGACAAGACAAAATAAGGGATTAATCCTGAAATCCCATTTTATAATCATCAGTGGATCATGTGAATCACAAACTACATCAACAAGTTTGCAAGTGACCCACATGCTTTGAGTTAGTTATTGTTATTTTTCAACTCATATTTTTGGGTAGATATATGTAATTTCTTTATTATTTATTTATATATTTTACTCTGTTACATGCACACATAATCTTCAAACATTATGTGGAAAAAAGAAAAAGAAATGATTATCAAAATGTAAAAAAAAAAAAAAAATAATGAAGCATTTCTTATCACCGCTGGAGTTGCCTGGATTGTGTGAGGTGTGAGCGGTGGTGGAGGTCTCAGCCAATCCAGTTTCCTGCACCAATAGTATTTCCAAACTAACCTGGCCCGTAAGCCACGTCCCTCTTCTATAGCTACAAATAGCTGATTGGTTCATAGTAAATGTTCATGTAGCTGTCCATTTATTCAAACTAAATATGTTCACAATTAGGACAAGGTCACCAGCTTTCCTGCAATGGCAAATTGGAGCACTCTCAAGATACTACCCTGAGGAACCTCATCCTCCTGAATATGTGGTGCTGACATTTCTGTGGCAATGCGGACCCTAAAAGTGCGATGGCACAAGAACTGACCTATTATTGATGGTAAATTTCCCAACAAGCCAAAATTTTTAAGCTCTTTAAGGATGCTGGATCTCTAAGCTGTGTCGTATGCTTTCTCTAGGTCAAATAAAACGCAGATGAGATGTTGGATTCAAGCAAAGACCTCACAGATCGAGGACTCGAGATGAACAAGAACATCACTCGGAATCCACATTGATATGGTGAAAAAAAAGGGCATTCTTCTCCAGGTACGATACTAATTGAAAATTAACCATCTTTTTAAATAGCTTGCAGATAAAAGAGGTCCGAGCTATGGGACAGTAGCCTCCCACCACGAGGAAGGGATGTCTAAACATGACTGAACAAACTTAACCACATCTGAACATGAATGAACAGAACTTTTTCACATCTAAACATAACTGAACAGATCTTATTCATGTCTAAGCATGACTGAACAATCTTATTCATGTCTAAACATGACTGAACAAGACATATTCATGTCTAAACATTACTGAACAGGCCTTATTCACATTTAAACATGATTTAACAGGACTTAATCATCTCTATTTCAGTCCCCACTACCACTGTAAGGGACAGGTAACATATGACATGTTGCCATTATCATCATTTACTATACATTTTTTCTGTCTTCTATAAACTAAATTTGTAAAGAATTTGTTTCTTCTTACAGTCTGTTCTTCTTTACATTCTTCTCTCTTGCTGTATCCTATTTGCTCTTGTGCTCTTCTTCTCTCTTGCTCTTTTGTCTCCCCTATTGCTCTCTAATCTTCTCTTGCTCTCTCTTCTCTCATTCCCTATTGCTTTCTTATCTTCTCTCTTGCTCTCTTGTTCCTTATTGCTCTCTTCACTTGTAAGGTGGCGGCACACTGAGCACCTTTCTCCAAACATGTTGCCCGTTTTGCTGGCAGTTGGCCAAAACGCCCAGCAAGTAGCAGGATTTCTGCTGTTGCTAGAAATGGACAACGGTTTGGCGTGTATTTTTGCCGGCCAGATTACTGCTCACATGAGCTTCATATAATTTCAAGTAAAAATTTAAATAAATCATGAAACAATCATAATTTAAAATATAACACATAAACGGTGATACATTTCTATTTATTCGTCACTTTAAAACTTCTCTAGTATTATTAAATCATTATTCAGGATCATCTTTGACCAGCCAGCTGCCAACACCTATAAAGAAACTTCACAACACATCCACGTCTTTTCTTTAGCTTTTGCAGATGCCTCATTTACTTCAGCAATTGAAGAAATATAGCACAATCCTGCAAGACCTCAACTGCAGTAACGGGATCCATTGTCAACCTTGTCTAGACGCTTTGTTGTTATTTTCGTTGCATTGGGCAGATGTGCCAACAAAACATTCAGTGTGACGCAAAACATCTCATTGTTTTGCTGGCCGGACCGTGTTTGCCAAACATGTTTGAAGGAAAGTGCCCAGTGTGCTGCCACCTTTAATCTCTCCTCTCCTTTGCAGGATATAATCACATTTCCTTTATTCTTTATTAAATCTTTTATGTCAAGTTCATGCTGCAACTTTTAGCTGAGTAAACAGGATCGAACAGGACATGCTCACTCTATCTTTGGGACAACCATTTGTGGGGATGAGGTGTTGCCATTGCCCTTATCTATTACAGATTTTTCTCTCTCTTCCAAAGTTAGTTTTTTCAGAAAATGCGGTAGGTAGTGACTTATTAGCAGAGTTGGTAAGTTGCACTTGGCTTAGGTAAGACAAATAAGGTTGCACTGTGACACATTGTTACGAGTGTTCACCAAAAGTTTCTGTTCTTGGTATGAAATAAGTTGGTTCGGATGGTTGTATGGTTAGGTCGAGCAGTTTCACTCATTACTCGTCCACACTGAATGATTCATCATTTAAGTATTAACTTTGTTTATTACTTTGTGTATTTATTGTATTATGTTTGAGTATATTATATTTTATTGTATTAGGTTTGTATGTAGGTTAGATAAGTGGAACTAATGTCAATAGGTAATTTAGATAAAGTTTACGTTTTGGCCAATGAGGATAGAATAAGTAGGTATTTGGCAGTAGAGAGGTGACGTCGGTGACCAGCTGCTAGTCAGTAGTCAGTCTAGGCACAGCTGTCTTAAGTTAAGTAGTATACCCTCTCTCTGGTGTTTTAGTACTTGGCATATGACTTTTGAGATTTGTTTTGCTTGATATTGATTTTGTGTGATCTTGTTGGACCTTCAGTCCTTACTCCGCCACTTCCAAAGATCTTGTCGTATTTTTATTGTTATTTATATAATTTTATGTAGTTATGTGATGGTGGGAATAAGTTAATAAATGTTCATATTTTCATTGACTTGTTTAGGTTTTGACCTGTTAACGTGACCTTTGTTGGGGGAACTTGGGATTAAGAATATAATAATAAATACTGATATATTTGAAAAACTTAAGTGATTCTGTTTATATAATGATCTACCCTAGGGTCGTAACACACATGTAGTATGGTTACCACGAGTTAAGTATTTCAAACAACAAACATGTTAAGCCACTCAAAACACTGTAGTTGTTTTGTGCTATTGGAAGTGATTTAGTGAGGTTTATGTCACAAGAGTTGGTCTTGGAGAGGAAGCCCCAGGGTCTAGCTTAATCATCTATCATTTCATAAGGTATTTGTTCACACTGAGTATTTGAGGAACCTAACCCCAGTTACATACAGGTAACCCCTTATTTACGATGGGGTGATGTTCCTGAAAAACCTATCACAGGTCGAAATATCATAAATCGGGATTATTATAACATGGGGTTCAATGGAATAAATTCCAAGCCAGTCCAACACCCACATTATCACCAAAAATAAAATTCCTACAATAATAATAGACATAATACACAATTAAACAACACTCACCACATCATTAAGAACAAGCCTGGTTGTCATCACATGAAGAGGACTCTTGAAGATGGACTACCACACAGCTTAACAATGTCAAGCTTCGCCTCAGAGACACGGTTGTCTTGGGTGCCTTGGCCTTCTCAAACATTTTCAAAGTTACTCTGCTCACTTCACAGTCACAAACACAGAGTGAGTGCACTTGTCACAAAAACAGAGTGAATGATAATGCAAAAACAATGATATTGGCCAACAATGCTCACAACAACAGATGCAAAGCACTTTACAGTCACAAAAAACATAGCAAAAATCACTTCTCAGTCACCAAAATAGAGTATAGTACAGGTATCCCTTAAGATACGAATGTTCGAGACCTGAAAATTCGCTTTTCCTAAACTGACACCACTATTTTGAGATACAAAAGCTTCCCTTGCTCTGAGTAAGGACCTTACTCAGCCCACCCCTGCTCATCCCCTTGTGGTGGTGAGGCCAGACTGCCCTCCTGATGATAAATAACACCAATATTGACAGACAACTGTTGAGTTACACTATCATGGGCGTGTGCGATCCCCATGGAAGAAAGCTTAGGACTGTAGTGCACCGGGTAACAAAGTGGCGATGCACAGATGCACAGCTGACAAGTGCAGCGAGAAACGCGTTCCATCTTCTAAGCATCGGCGATTTTGGCTGTACGATGACCATCGTTCAATGCGAATTTTTTTATCATAAATATGGGGTAGTCTTAATACATCACTATTGTTCAAACAAAATATTGTAGATAAGGAAATCGTAAATCAGGGGCTCCCTGTATAGGGCCGACTGTAGTTATACTTTATTAATGCATTTTTGGGGGCTATTTTCTGATTGTAAAACTGTGTGCTTTCCCCCTCCATTGTCCAATTTGGGGGGGCATAGCAAACCCCTTCTTCTCCCCCATTTACTGTAAGTCTGATAATCGAGGTTCTATTACATCATAGTATATTATTAAATAATCATATTACTGTACTAACCTTGTCAACAATAAAGGACTTGATATCTTCATGTGCCCAGTTAACTGCTGTTATATTTTCTATGCCCTTAGGGAATTCCTTCACCTGAATTAATTCATTCTTGGCCATGGCATTTAAGAACTGAAATGCAAAAGGTTGTATTTATTAACTTACATAATGTTGTATACAATACTTTCTCTCAAACTATACCACTTTTTCTCTTTATTTCCTTATTCAAAAGCAAGGTTGTCCAAGCAGTATCATTCTTAAAATACTATAAATACAGTATTGAAAATATTTCCTTATCAAGAGTTTATAATTATAATTCAGTAGCTAGGCTTAAAAGTGAAGCCTCTATAGTACTATTATTGAGAGGGAGAGAGAGAGAGACCATTACATACCCAGCATAGATTGGCAGATTCATGAACTGCATTAGCATGGTTGTGGGACTGTACTCAAGGTTCCCAGGAACTCATATGCACTGTACTCTAGAAATCCATTAAGTCTGGGGACAGTCTCTCTCACAATTCAATTACAGTACTTAAAATAGGGGGCAGTGCTAAAGAACCAGCTACAAAAAGGTTAAGAGCTGAGAGTTTTTGCTTTTGCATTAATGTGAATTTACTGTCTCAGACTACCTACCACAGATGCCCTCGGCTCAATTGACCTTCAATTCTTAGCTTATTTTAGAATCTCAAGAGAGGAGGGAGGGTTTCATGCTGCCTGTTCTATGGAAATGAGGATCAATCCCTCATTTATAACTGAAGTGGTGAATTTAATAACTTATTCATGCTCAAGCCAGGTTGGATAGATTGGAGGATGGAGGCAAAGTTCAACCATCTATCCCAGGAACAAGTAAGAACTACACAACCTTCCTGGTGCTATCCAGCCCAATTGCACTAATGAGAAATGGTTTTACGAACCCTGCTTTCTGTCTTTTTATTTTATTTTTTTTTTTTGCAGCTGCAGTACTACAGGGAATAGCATTCACCTCAGAGAATAAGAGACAAATCTGATTGCCATGAAGCATGCTTTTATATATATATATATATATACACGAGGTCTGTCCAAAAAGAAACCGAACTTTAAAAAAAAAAATTATTGCTTTACTTACAAATTAATCAGACTTGTCTCCTTCAAAATACTCCCCTCCACTGTTGATACACCGCTCTCAAAGTTTTTTTGCAGTTCTGGAACACGTCCTTGAACGCGTTTTGAGGGATGGTGTGCAGGTCTCGTAGCGAATTTTCTATCTCTTCTATCGTTTGAACTCGGCAACCTTTCAGGGTGGATTTCAACTTTGGGAATAAAAAAAAGTCGGCAGGGGCCAAATCCGGAGAGTAGGGCGGCTGGGGGACAATAGTCGTCTCGTGCTTCGCCAAAAAGTCACGGATAAGGAGCGATGCGTGAGCAGGTGCATTGTCATGATGCAGCATCCAGGTCTTGTTTGTCCACACGCCTCAGGCCTCTTCCGTCGCACTGCCTCCCTCAAATGCTTCAGGACCTCCAAGTAAAACTCTTTATTGACTGTCTGACCACGTGGAGCAAACTCTTGATGAACGACGCCCTTCCAATCAAAAAAGACGATCAACATCACTTCCACATTTGGGCAACTCTGGCGTCCAGATTTGGGATCATCTTCGGTGGATGTTCTTCCCCTTTTGAAACGCTGGTACCACACGTGACATTGCGTACGGCTCAAACAATCCTCCTCATAAGCCTGTTGCAACATTTGAAAAGTCTCCTTGAAAGTTTTTCCCAATTTGAAACAGAATTTCACACAAACACGTTGCTCTTCAAGATCCTTCATTTATTTATTTTTTTTTTACGGGGAATAGCCCACCCAGGCAAAGGTCACTGACCCACATCAGGGCCCGGGGGGCGAAAATTTAATAATAATAATATTTCATAGTAAATAAAATTTATAATAAAAAGTAAAATAAAATATTAATGGTAATAATAACAATAACAACACTGTGACAATAATGAATACAAAGAAATGCAAGAATGAAAAAAAATCAACAGTGAGAAACGCAATATATGTATGTTGTTTGTCATGTAATAGAAACAATTGAGACCCTACAATTGTGTGTAAAGGAGGCAGAAAGTCAGATGAGCAACCTGGAACTTGGTCACAATTTTCGTGATGCCATATGGCAGCAGGGTCTACCATTAGACAACACATTATGCTGCTAATATCTTCCCAGGCGGTACCTCCCTGTTCGGTAGCTGCCTACTACCTTGTTCACCTTGCAACAAATCGCCAAGTGTACTAAACACATGTTCACTCTAGCATGTGTAGCTCGATGACTAATTGGCATGGTGTGATGCGGCTAGTGTTAGACTATATGAGAGAGAGAGATGCTTATTTAGGCGTTTTACAGAGAGTATGAACTGGGGGTAGGACAAGAATGAAATGGAAAAAGTTGTAAGAAGCACTCGGGGAGTAGAACCTGACGAGAGGCTAGAAGTGCAGTACTACAGCTGCCATCAGGTACGGTAATCACAGCTAACCCATACAAGCTTGGAAAATGGTCATAAAATGGTGGTGGTGATGAGGATGATGAGTTGATTACCCATCATGATTGACAAGGAATTAGTGTAAAGTATACAAAAATAAAAGGGAGAAAAGTATATCACTATTCATAGAAGCTACCTTAGACAATTTTTTATATGATGACTTCTTAATATCCAAAGAGGCTCCATCAGGACAAGCGGGGATCATGTGTAAGCGGTAAAAGTTGCTAGTAAGGATGGGGACCTCCACTTTCTTTCCAGAAGTCTTCCAAGCCTTCAGGAAACAATGAAGCAGTAGCTTATCCATTACTTCAGGGCCTGTTATTAAGAAGCATTTAAAGAGTAAAATTATTTAAAATGTACATAACAAATAAACACACATCAAAGTGTTATTCACAACAAATCCCAGGAGAGAATTCATAATTTATCCTCTCAGATTATATCTGCATATACAGTGAGTTCTGCTATAACGCGTGTTTTGACAACGCGAATTGGCTCTAACGCGATTTATGAATAGAGGAACGATATTTGTATAACGCAAACGCTTGTTTGCTGTAATGCGATTTTTGCTTACTATTTCTCCAATTTTGTGGTATTAACTGTGAATATGGTAAAGAAGAATATCTCCAAGAAGCGTTCTGCTGATCGCATTCCCAGTGATGATCGTAAAAGAAAGGCTATAACACTTGAAGAGAAGCTCGATGTTATCAACCTCAAAATCACCTTTCTCCCCCATCAAGTTATATTCATATTTCTTCACGGTAAAGTGTTACATTTACTGCATGATTTCATTATAGATATGAATGTAACATTTATTTAGACTGTGCTAGCCTTTGTGTTAGGCTAACTACTAAATTTTTTTTTATTTTGAGTAGTAATCTGCACCTAACCCTATTTTCTCCATAAGCCCTGTTATTTCTATTACGCGAATTTCTATAACACGATGTTTCACAAGAACACAACTATCGCGTTATAGCAGAACTGACTGTATAGCTGCTTCTACAATAAATAAGAAAGCAGCAAGAAGTGCGAACATCAAACCATCGGCGTACCTAATGGGTGGCAGATGGGGCAGCTGCCCTGGGTGCCAAGGTAAGGGGGGCGCCAAATTGCCTATGAATTTTTTAAAATATTTTTTTCAAAGAAAGATAACACAATGAAAAGATTACTCTAGCAGAAAAGCCTGTACTACTGCTACACTGGATAGGGTTTTTTTTTTTTTTTTTTACAGGGATTAGTCCACCCGGGCACAGGTCACTGACCCACATCGGGGCCTGGGGGGCAAAAATGTAATAATTATTCATAGTAAATAAAATTTGTAGAAAAAATAAAATAAAATAAAAACACTGTAATAATAATAATAATAATAATAATAATAATAATAATAATAATAATAATAATAATAATATAGAACTACAAAAGAAATACAAAAATGCAAAAAAAATCAATGGTGGGAAATGCTATACAGTGGTCCCTCGGTTAACGAGCGCCTCGGTTAACGAGATTTCGGTTAACGAGTTACCTTCCATAAGATTCTTAACTTCAGTTAACGAGCAATCCCTCGATTAACGAGTTTCTTACGAGCCGACCTCAACATGTTTTTGCTTGCATTTGGCGGTCCACCAGCTGTAGTATTAGTCCGCCAATACAGTAATCGGTTCTAGGGCTTATATTCCTTACCATTTTAGTAAATATCAAGCAGTTTATACTATTCAATAATTTTAAAAGTTTAATATTAAATTTTTTAGCAATTTTAACAATTCTTGAACATAATTGAAGGTAAGGAAACTAGTTTATGCGCGCCATCCAGCCAGTCAACACACCAAACAGGCGTCAGAGTCTCTGTCTTTTCAGTGGAGGTAACATCTTGCTTGACTCTCTTCAACTAAATGCTTTTTTCTGTGTTTGCAAGCAAATTATTGGCCATTTTGAAATTCATTTTACATATTGACAATATATAATGCAATGCAGTGTTGATTTAAAGAAAATAATGGTGAATTACACCAAGAGTACTAAAATTTTATGGGTGAAATGGCGCCAAGGGGTGAATTCTCTTCCACCCCAATGCCTTCTCTTCTCCCTTCTCCTCCACCCCCAATCTAATTCCCATCATCATCATCCAGGAGCCTTCTACATACAAACCTCAAAGTAAGTGTACTTTTCTACCTTTTTTGTTGAATTTAGGCAATTTTCGGTGAGTTGGAACCAATTACCCAAAAACACAATGAAACAATGGTTTCGGTTAACGAGTTTTTCGGTTAACGAGCAACCTTCTAGAACGGATTGTGCTCGTTAACCGAGGGACCACTGTATGTATGTTGTGTAATCAAGTAAGAGAAACAATTGAGACCCTGCAATTGTGTGTAAATGAAGCAGAAAGTCAGATCAGCAACCTGGGACTTGGACACAATTTTCGTGATGCCATATGGCAGTAGGGTCTACAATTAGACAACACTTTATGCTTCCAATATCTTCCCAGACAGTAGTACCTCCGTTTGGTAGCTGCCTACTACCTCAAAATATACTGTGCATTGTATTATGATAATTAATATTGGATAAATAAACTTACTTTTTAGGATTAAGAGTAAAATTTGGTCAATCTTTCATCACAATTGTCCAAGATTATTATTGAATCTGTTTACTTGGAGAGTAAAAGAATTTTATAATGAAAAGTTAAGCAATCCACTGGGCTATGCTATTTTCTGAACTGAATGTAGACTTAGTGTGTTTTGAGCAGCAAATTGCTGACTACTTATAGATAATTATTACAGGATTTTCTAAAAAGTTATGTAAATATGTATGTTTTGAGCAGCAAATTGTTGATTACTTATTGATAATTATTCCAGTTCTTGAAGTTAATTTGTTCAAGCCTTGATACAACCATAAAATTATACATCATCATCAGTGTCACAGCAATCCCTTATTTACAGCTATCACATACTGTTCACTATTTTTCTTCTTTCCATTCTGATAACCTAAGATATAATCCTAAAGTAACTCATCTCTGAAGCTTGAAATGTAGACGATTCTTTTCCATTCTAAATCTAAGTTTCACTGTCATGCATTAAGACAGAAAGTACTATATAAACTCTTGACTTCCTTCTTAATCTCCAAAATTATATTCCTTCACTTGATGAGACTTAATCATTTCCTTACCTACCCTAAACAGTATCAATATTTCCAGTGCATCATCATGTCTGTTCTATCATATGTTGATCAGTGCAATTTAAACTGCATTTAACTGTACAATTTACAGTATAATAAAAATAAATAAAAAGGTGTCCGCACCTACCAGTTGGTTGGGTTGTTTCCTCTTGTGGTGGGCTGGCTTCTGGACTAAGGCTGCTGAGGCTGTCAGGTGTCTGATCATCTAAGTCCAATTCTTGAAGAGCATTTGTTACTTGATCTCTTGAAATCTCATCTATTATTTCACCTTCATGTGTTTCACTAAAGTCTACAACTTCTTCAATATTATCTTCCTTTTCTGAAATTGTAATACCCTGTACAGTTACAGATTAAAGTTCACTTGACAAATTTAATGAATGTTCTTATAACTTTCATTAGACATATACTACAGTACAATAACTTACAAATGATCATTCTTACCTTTAGAAATTATATCAGCAACTTATCTGGTTTTGGATGCTTAGTAATTAACATAACCATAACATTATGGTAAACCTGATATATTAAAAACTCTACAAAGAATACCTGGACATTGCCAGTCTCAAATTTAGACCACAATTTCAATATAAAATAAAGGGTTCCAATAGCATCCATCTTTGGAAAATAAGTGGCATATACACAGAAAAATATGGTGTGCAGGAGCATGCCAGATAAGAAAAGTGTATTGTTCCCCTGGTATAGAAAGATGAGTTTATTAACCACTTGAAGTTGGGCAACAACAACAGAAAGATTGCTGTTGGGGGTTGTGAGGGGACCAGATGGTGCCCTGGGATCAAACCCTCAGGATAAGGATAGCTGTGAGTGTGTGTGTACATATTATGAGTGATATAAAGTAGAAATACAATTTTTAGTGAACTATAAAAAATAATGTCTAAAAAAACATTTCTCCCACATAAAAGTTTTGTTTCACATTTTTGCATCTTGAGAGAGAGGGTTAACATTAAATGTGATAACATCACAGGTAACTTTAAATGTGATAACATCTCAGGTAACCTTAAATGTGATAACATCTCAGGTAACCTTAAATGTGATAACATCACAGGTAACTTTAATGTGATAACATCACAGGTAACTTTAAATGTGATAACATCACAGGTAACTTTAAATGCGATAACATCACAGGTAACCTCAAATGTGATAATATCACAGGTAAACTTAAATGTGATACAAGGCAAAGAATTCAGACTAACCTAAAGAATCTTCACCACTCAGCATTATGTCAGGAGGCCCAAATTTAGGTGGTGGACTTCTGGTACCCATTTCCCACAACTGATCTCCATAAACATGGAGGATGCTGACACCTTTTCCATGTCTTCCAGACATGAACATATCCATAGAGCTATGTGCAGTGATGCCAATGGCAACAGGAACCTTGTTTTCTGTAGTGTTGACAGCAACAGGGAAGCCTTTCTCAAACTTGCCATATGAATGTGGATTCATCTGTACAGAATAAGAAAAAATAGCCCGAGTTAAGCGATAATAAAATTAGGATACGCGGTTTTTAAGATTTAAATGAGAACTTAAATTTTGCAACCAGATATCTTCCTATCATTAATACTGATAAACCCTGGGGCTTCCTTACACAGATCATCATTCTGTATATCTCCAAAACCTAATTTTTTTTAGTACAGGTAGACCTCGATAAACAATGTCTCATTCAGTGATATTTAGTTTTAACGATGGTCATGAATTAAGACCATCTCGCTATGTACTGTACTGTACAATAAAAAAAAAACTGTTTTAACAATATCCATCTAATAGCCATCGATATCCATTGGTTAGAATTTCGTTTTATATCTTGTGCAAACTATGGTCTGTATATACTCAAATTAATCGCTGTCCTGCAAGGATTACAGTGATGCAAATTATATTTTTCTGCATCACGTCAGTGACATTTTATAAGGAAACAATATTTAACCCTATGCACCACACATCTCTCCCTTCACTTGTCAGCCCTCCCCACGTGCCGCCACACGGCTAACCCGCGCACTACAGCCCTTTGTTTAGTTCTTTGTCGATCATAACCCCGTTATCGCATTGCTCCACGATTATCGGCCGGCATCGTATACTGTATTGTACTTATTGGTATTTTTTTTATATAGTGAACTGTGAACTGTGCTATGGTGACTGTGAAGAGATATTTTCTGTTTTTTTTGTGATTGTAAGGTTGTTTTGAAAATGTGAGTAGTGTCGGCCACGATCATTGTTTTTATGTTATCATCATTTGCTCTGTCTTTGTGACTGTGAAGTGAGCAGTGTATCTTTGAAAAGGTCTAGGAAGGCCAAGGCACCCAAGACAACCGTGTCTCTGTGGTGAAGTTTCACATTGTGAAACGGCAGGAGACTCCCCAGAGACTGTGTGAGAGTCAGAGTGACGTCTCCACCCCAACTACAAGAGTTCCCTTAGCCTCGAAGGGAACTTGGGATGATGACCAGGCTTATTCTTCAGGATGTGGTGAGTATTGTTCAATTGTTTTGTACTAATGGTAGTACTATAGGAATTGTTTTGTTGGTGATACAGGTGTGTTTGGGGACTAGCTGGGAACGTATCCCATTTAACCCCATGTTATAATCCTCCCTATCTACAATATATTACATATTTCTATGTACAGTAGAACCTTGATAAATCAGACTATTGGGGCAGACCACAAAATCAACGAGCATCAAAGAGAAGTACAGTGAGTCTGTTGTTGAAACAATATGTGGAAGGAGGAACTATCCCATTTTCAAGTAATCCAATACTCTACTGGAAAGAAGTGTCCCCAACTTTGCACCCACTGAAGAACCTGGCAAGGGAGCTGATGGGGTGTACTGCAACATCTGCTCCATCCGAGCGAGTTTTCAGCATTGCTGGAAATTATTTCACAGCCAACAGGACCCAACTTGGTGTCACTTCTTTGCGGTTATTGTTAATGATAAAGTGTAATTGTGAATTATTTGAAAAACTCCCAGCTTAGTAAATATTATGTGATAACTTGCAGTACACTGTACATGGACTGCACTGGAATCTTGATAGCCTATGTCTGCCTTTTTTACAATAGTTTTAAGTGAAACATATTCATCAATACGGATTTAGCCCTTATAACTAGACAGCACGACTGTTTTCGTTTCAAAGGGTGAGCTAGAATGTAGAAACCTGTAACTTTTTATTTAGAATACACATTGTCTTTTAACATGGTTATTTGAGGCTTTTAAAAAATAGGCAAAATTATGTAGAATACTTATTTCAAGAAAAAGGTAAAATTAAAATAAAAAAATATATAAAAAGAACTGGAGGCCTCATGAGAGCTACTGAGTTCGAGAACACTGCATATGTAAACAGGCTGGGATGGTGGCGGGGGGTTCAGGCACTGCTGCATTCACGATGTTTATTGATTCACTATTGTAGTATTCACATATGATCACACTATAACATACTGTATAGTACAGCTCTCCTCCCCGACTTACAACGGGGTTAGGGACCCAAATCGAGGTCGTAAGTCGAAATGGTCGTATGTCGAAAATGCTTAAATAATACATAGAAAATCTAAAATGGGTGTCTCTTTTTCTTCTTAGCACCACAAAGCTCTCACTTTTAAGCTTGCCAGCCATTTTAAAGTAAATTACAAACGAAAATTTTGTCTGTGTACTGACTTTGGGACTCGAAAATATGTAATTTGACCAAATTTTGGTACAACTGAGGGGTCGTAAGTGCGGTTGGTCTTAAATCGAGTAGGTCATAAGTTGGGGAGGAGCTGTATTTGATATAGAGATACCTTCCTAACAACATTACAATATTTATTACTTTTGAGTGATACAAGATGGCTAAATTTGGCTACTTGTGCTCTTAGACAACTGATTAATGAATAAGCCTGGGAATATGCAGATGCATAATACACTACAATATTACTTATTAATTGTTAATAAATACACTACAAAATTAATTATTGTATTAAGTATTGATGAATACAGATATTGAGTTGAGCATGAGAGATGGAGAGTACTGTTAACATATTGAGGGAGAGTGACCAACTGTTAATACTTGTAAACAAAGATTTTAATATGACTCAATGACTCATCTGGGGTTGAGTGTGGGATACTTTTGGGGGAGGAAAGTTTATTATTTCATGATACTGTACTGTTATATCAACCCAGCACCAAATAAACCACTTTATATCTAATTAAACTTACCTCTCCTTTCGTAATAATTCCAGGCAACATGAGATCTGCTCCACCCGCTAAGATGGCAATGACATGCGCGTGCGTTGTGAAAGTATGCATAAGATCTGGACATTTCCATAGTAAATATACTGTGGGGTAGATTTCTTTTTCCTTCTCAACCATGAAGAACAAAGGGTCCTTTTGTACCTGGAGGTAATTTTTAATGAAATGGATGAGCAAAGTATATTCTAGTATAAAGTATCACTTCATAATATGAAAATTATATGCTTTTAAGTTTATATAGGATATAACTATGACCCGGTACAAGAAATGGCACTGTACTCACAGCTCAAAGGCAACTCAAAACTGGCAGAATTATGGCATTCTAACTCTTTTATAATGTTGCTACCAAATTGTTTAATATGTGGGTCAGAATAATAGGTAAAAATCATTCAGCAATATCTCACAAAACAAACATTAAATAATGAATGAAATATGAAATGCTATTCTATGACCAGTGGGATGAGACAAGTGATTTATGACATCACCTAGAGCAGTGACGGTCCACCTAGGCCAGTGAAGGGGGACATCATATTCAGTGGCCCACAAGATTGAAATTCAGCATGTGCACTAATCATGACCCCACGAATAGCCATAAATACCCTTAACACAAGCCGAATGTTTTATCATTAGTTAAAGAAAATGTTTATCTAATTCAAATAATAAGAACAAAAGAAATAAGACAGTTGCAGAAATGTGTTCCTACAACCCCTGTGGTAACCCATTGTACTGACCACAATCATACATGTTAACATAAAATCAAATGGTTCATATTGCACTCAATAGCCCATAAAACATGTAGCCCTAACTTATTCATGAGTCCCCCTACTAAGACATCCGTTTTCTCACTGCTTCAGTACATCTGAGACCTCCGTTTTCTGTCGTGTACTTCAGACTCTAATATCTCATGTTGATTTTGTAGATTTGAAATTGCAAATTAATGTGTATGTGTTACATTAAGATAGATGTATCTGCTTACAGATGAAACATTCAAGATCCATTTTGAGTGATGCTGAAAGCTTCAACTGCAGTTACTTTTAGTAAAATTTTCATGTAAGTCCTTGTGTTAGAATCTGCAATAGAGACAAGAATCATGTTTCCTGTCCTGGAAAGAGGACTTAGTTGCCACTGAAGTCAGCTCATTTTAATTCCCAATCATCAGAGAATCTGATAATTGTATTAAAATTATTGTCATTTTTGTATTTTGGAAAGTCATCAATCTTCTGAAAGAAATGTCACTTCCTTATTTCCCTGCAATCTTACGGTGAGGACTCCCCATTCCCTTGTTCCTTTTTTGATGACATTGTACGAGACGATATTGCCAGATTGCGTGCTTGACGTAAATTTGATTATTGCTTTGCAAGCTCGAACACTGATTAGATTGTAAGCAATAGACTTAAGAAATTGATCTGACCCATGACACTGATTTTCATATTCCAATGTACAGTATACCTCAACTGGGTTAAATGAATATGCAACTACAGTACATGAGTGAAGAGGCATCAGTGACGTGACTAAATCGAAGTGTTGTTTCAATGGAATAATTTAGTTTGGTACTTGGTCACATGTCGGCCCACACCGCTGTCTATGATTGGCTAATTAGGTGATACCCGAGAATGACCAATGTCATGAGGGTGGTTCACGGCCTGAATGCTGATATAAGTTTTCTAATGTTTTGATTTACGATGTTTCTTTATATCCGTGTTATTTAGTTTTGGTTGTTAAAATATTATGTAATAGCCATATTATGTTTTATAGGGTATAAGGTGTAAAACTTTTAATGAATTATATTAGGATTCGATGGCAACCGAGCCATATTCGTGTGGTGGTGGTCACGGCAGTGCAGCATGAGCCACCGACTGAACCGGACAGCACTGAGAACCAGGAACTCCAGGCCTGGTATACACACGCCGACGTGGGGTACAAGATAGCCACCGTGTTGTGTGTGAAGTAATTGGAGATATTTGGACCGACTGAACCGGACAGCACTCAGATCCAGGAACTCCAGGTTTGGTACAGTAGAACGTCGATTTAAAGCGATTCAATATAAGATTATTGATTTAAAGCGAAACCCACAATTAAGGACAATGTTTTAATTTAAAGCTAATCTTTCCTATTTTGCGCGAGTCAATCTGGTGCATCATATTTAAAATTTGGCGCCTAATGTTTCTCTGGGCACGCTACACTATCCTAAGGGCAAAGCTGTACTGTACATGTACTCAAAATAATGTACTAAATGATTACTAAAATTTTTGTCTAGTGCAAACTATAGCATGATTAAATTCAAATTAATCACTATCTTATAAGAATTCCAGCAATGTAAATTCTATTCTCCCCGGTCACTTCTGTGATAGTTTATAGGCAAAAAACAAACTTAAGCTAAAGGACATAAATAAACAAATAAATACTTCACTAGACTAACTGTCAAACATGTCACTGTCACTTCCCTCCCTCCCTTCCCTCCCCGCCCCGCCCCCCCTCCTTCCCCAGCCAGGGTTTGGTGTTTTAGGCTTAAAGTTTTTATCTTATATAATGTCACAGACAAAAGTTAGGAGAATATAATTTGTATTGCTGGAATCCTTGCAAGACAGCGAATAATTTGAATATAAACGTCAAATATTTTGTACGAGATAAAAAAATTTGCTTTTTGTACTAAAATTCTTAAATTAGAACTAAAATTTGTATGTCTAATGCGAGCTATAGCATGTTTATATTGAGATTAATCACTATCTTATAAGAATTCCAGCAATGTTAATTATATTCTCTCATGTCAGTTCAGTGACATTTTATAAGAGAAAAACTTAGTCACTCTTGACAGATAAATAAACAAGCACTAGACCTTGGCATCAACTGTCAAACATATCACCTCAGCTTCCCCCCCCCCCATCTTCCCAGCCAGTAAACAGACCATTTTGCATCCTTTAATTTTAGCTGTGTTGATTTATGAGTGATTGTTTTAACATAATTCTACAAAAAACAATGTTTTGTTTATTCTTGGAGATGGACTGAGGTGCATCTGGGTAGACCAGCTATTTTCAACCAATGTGCCGCGAAGCATCCGTAGGCGTGCCGCGTGCCAGTCAGCAGGTTTAACTGTTGCCGAAGAGGATGAGCTGACGGAAATCAGAAACGACAGAGGACCGAAACTGAATCACTTATCAACAGGTATGACTTTATTCTGGATGTCCCTTCAAGAGGAATACCCCATCATTATAAAGAAGGCAATTGAAGCACTTCTTCCTTTCTCAACATCGTACCTGTGAGAAGCTGGCTTCTCTGCTATATGAAAAGCAAGAGCAGGTCGCAGTTTCAAACACTAGAGGAGGACTTGAGGGTATGCCTGTCAACCATTCAACCTCGGACAAGGAACATCCTGAGACAACACCAAGCACAGGCTTCCCACTGATATTTTTATGTAAGCAAAGGCCTTTTATTCTTACTCATGTTTGTATTTGAATAGAATCTAGATCTAAAAGTTTCATATTATTTTTTAATGAATGGCATCTTTTTCAATGACATCTTGTTTCAATGTGTAGTAATAACAAATATGCAAAAAACTTTCAAATTATTTTGAAAACCATGATCAACAATATACTTTTGGCAATAAATTTAACAAATTATTAGTTTTTTAAATTATGAAACATTCTTATCATTCATTTTCTTTTAAATGATCAAATCTTTCCTTAAATACTGATGGTGTGCCTCGACCATTTTAGTGCCTGGCTCACTGTGCCGTGAGATGAAAAAGGTTGAAAATCACTGGGGTAGACTGTCAATCTTTTTAGTACTTTGTGTTTCTCTCAAGTACCAAACTAAATTATTCCATTGAAACAACACTTCGATTTAGTGCGAATTCGGTTTAAAGCAACCTCACTTGGAACGTATCTCGTTTTATATCAACGTTCTACTGTATTACAGGATGTACTGTACTTCCATACCACTTCCAGAATAAGGGAGGCAAAATTGAATATGAGCAACCTCTTTATTCGGGTGTTGTGTTCGTTAAGGCTCATAAGATACTGGAAAAAGGAGGATAAGTTTGTGGAAGGGGAAATAGTGACAAACCTGAATTACTTTGCTCTATTCAATCTACAATTAATATTCACTCAGTAAGGTTTACAAACAATGGGAAATAATTACCTGGTAAACATTGACGGATTCTCCTTTGTAGCAATACATGCGCACAAGTGTAACATCCTCTTTGTTAGGCATCAGCTTGGACAAATCATTTGATGTTAAAGATGGATATGCCTGAAACAATTCAGCTCGCAACTTTTTCCTGGAAAAGAAGATAGGGAAACACACTTTCAAGTACAGTAGTACAGTGTAATGCAGTACAGTACTGTATTTAATTTAAATGGCTTTGGTAAAAAAAAATATGACATTACTGATCATATTTGGGCAACTCAAACATCCAGTGTAAAATGTAGGTCACTCACAAGTTTCTATGTCATCTTCCTTTGTTGTTGATGGCAGTAAGCATAGCCATTGATTTGTTAAGGTCACAGAAAGAGGACCGGATTAACACAGTGGAGTGTCTTTAAATATTAGTGCCAGGAACATACACTGTTAGTATTAATTCACATTTACAGTACTGTACTTGTACTGTACTAATCTGGTGTTTGAATATCACTGTAAACTCTTATAGTATTGATGTTATTAGTTTATGTTTGCAGTTATTATCTATAGACATTACTGGTAATCATAACACATACTGACTATCTTGATACATACTGTACTACATTCTGTACAGTGCAAGTTATCTACATGATTGAGTATTATGTGTTAATCTGACCCCTGAACTTCAAAGTTTGCAGGTTGTGGTACTGGTACAGCCCCATAAAGTTAAAACTTACACTGGATACTTTAAAAAGTATTTCATTAAGTGTTTCTGATTATTTGATTAACAGATTGTGGTAATTATATCCCTGACAACGCAACAGCTTAGGTCATATGCCTGCGAATTAAACCAAAAGCTTAGATGAATAAAACCAAATAACATAAGGTAAAATAAAAGAAAACAAAAAGCATAAAACTTTCATAAAAACATTTAAACATTAATAGATAAATCTCAAAGCTTGTATAGAAGGCTGGCTTCCTCCACGAAGACAACAACGTCTCCTCCCAGGGTACCCACTACATCCCCCAGCACCCAAAAAAGACAGTAAGGCCCATCTCCCCCTCCAGCACTAGGAGACGTGCTTATGACGAAGATCTCTAAGACTGGGGCACTCCACCAGGATGTGTTGAACAGTCAATGGGACCAGTAGTCATCTCCATGTTTCCAGCAATGGAAGGACCGCTGGGCTAAGTGTGTTGAGTCCCAAGGGGCCTACTTTGAAGGGGATTAAAGTCTGAACTCAGTAAGTAAGCTTTTTTTTATTCACCTGCTAAAAGTCGGATACTTTTCGATCAGACCTCGTATATATGTACAGTATTGTAGCCAAGGGATGGGACGATAAGACACTAGCTAAGACCTGAAGAGCCGAGACCTCCTTCCATGACTTCCGATGTTTTGCATGACGTGCTCGATGTTGTAATTGCGCCAGAATTCTTTGATGGTCGGCTTTCCCTCTCCATCTGTTGCCTTAAACAACTGCATTATCAACCGCCTCAGGTAGTAGGCTTTGAAGGTTACGATGACGCCCTAATCCGTCGGCTGGATGAGTGAGGTGGTGTTAGGGGGCAGGAACATGACAATAATGTTGCCTGTTCACTCACCCATCATAGGCATGTGTAAAGGCACATTGTTGTGGAACAAGAGAAACTTGTTGGCGATGTTCTGCTTGTCAGCATACTCCTTGAGGCGCTTGGACAGGCAGCCAATCACATAACTGGCACTTTTCAAGACATTGAGTTATATAGATCTGCTTATTTTATACTATGGGTCATGAGCATGCCTGACCGATCTAGTTTTGAATCACGACAAAAAAAAAGTAAGAATCACTGGCTTAGTGAGTGCCTTACATGAGTCACCTAAAAAAAAGGCCATAAAATAGCTTTATGAGAGGTTCTCATATCTTTTGTACAAAATATATAATGATTAAACAATAAGCATAACATTATACTACCAAAAGAAAATTCTTACCTTTCTGACCCCTTTAACTGCGTTTGCGACTTGATCCGAAATGGTTTAATAAACATCTGTAAAAGAAAACAGGAAAAACGATATTATAGTTTTATATGGAGACATTGAAAATTATATCACTGAATGCTTTAGGCAGTAAAAATGCAGCTACTGCTAAAGTTGACAGAATGGTCCAAGATGCACTTGCTTGCTACAGGGAAATTTATAATGAAAATAAAAGGCAAACTGTGCAGTCTAAATTGGACATCTATATTTAGAAGTCCCCCATTGCCGTCTCCTCACACCCCACCAGTGCTGCCTCTTCACTCCCTAAAGATGATCCAATACCTTCAACCAGCAAGTTTCCACTGTACATAAACCTGTCTGAAGAAAGCGACATTGGTGACCCACCCAGCCCTGTCTCCTCCTCTGCTTCATCCCATTAATATAGTCTCCATGTATCCCGTAAATAGAAAATTATGGGGGCCCCGTTTGCATTCAGCCGACAACATTAAAGGTAAGTGCACGTCACACTGTATCCATTCTTCATTATTGATTACTTTTACTGTACTGTATTTCATTTTAGATTTTATATGTATTTTTTGCATTTCCGACTACGACCATTCCGACTTACGACCTAGATTTGGGTCCCTAACCCTGTCGTAAGTCGGGGAGGAGCTGTATTACAGTAGTTTTCTCTTACTTCCAAAAAACAGTAGTGGTAAGTGTTATCATTACGTGAACCATTATGATAGCAACATTTTTGTTGTACAGTACAGTACTGCAATATACTATACAGAGTACAGTTCATTCTGCTCTAAGTTAAGACTTCATAAGCCTAGCTCAGGACTTGGAATATGGACCAAGAGGGCACTAGACAGTGAATACACTGTTTATGGTACTGTACCTGATGTCTGTGGTCAAGCAAAAAAACACACTTATCATTGTGTAAGAGCAAATTGATGAACATTATTGGAAATGAAACAATGAACATATTAGAGTGGACTAGGCTTCCTGGAGATACCACTATAAAAAAAACGAGCCAACGTGTCTACCTCCTGGGTGGCTTGGAAATTACACATCCTGGTAGTTATGATGTTTATGTATGTGAAATGAAAGAGACGTGAAGAAAATCTCTGTAAGGCACTAGTATGAAGAATAAAGAAGCATACCTACTGATAAAACCTTCCCATTCATTTGGCAGTCATTTCCGAATCAATAACAAATGCAAAATTACCAAAAAATACTTAAAATCACACTAGAAAGTTGTCGTTTCTTTGGTAAATTTGCATTAGTGCACACAACTCTGTTGGAATGTCAAAACTATGCTTTTCTAGTGTATTTTTGTATGTTTTGACCTTCATTTCAGTCGGAAATTGCCCGTTTCTTAGTTATCGGGGGGTTTTGGTGGGGCATTTTCCGACAAAAATTATGGCAAAGCCAATACAAAATACACAAAAAGAAACACTAGAAAAACATAAACCTTATTGGCCTGGTTCTGGTTCGTCGTTGGATTCTGAGATTAGTACAGGTTGCTGACGCTGATTCTCGCTTAACAGGGGGTATAGGTGGGCAGCTTGCACTTAGGACACTTTACTGAGGTCAGGAGAACATTAGCTCTAAAAAATTATACAGCTTGTTTTTTTTTTCCAAAAACGCACAATCAACTCCATACAATTGAAGCGACACCCATCGCAGACTTCCAGGGTCAGAAATGAATTTTAATTTCGAAGCATGAGAGAACCAAAATTAAAATAGAATCAGATTGGGTCAAAAATACTGCGAATTAAACCACAAATCATTTTAATTGGTGGAGAAAAAAACGCTTTTGATTGGCCACGTGTACAGGAACGCATGCGAGTGACGATTTATGAAGGAGACACGCAGTGTGGGAGGTGAGGTAGGCGATAATGGTGGAAGATTAATGGAAGAAAATAGAGAAAGATTTTGGATACGCTATCTCCGTTACTACACGTTTAAGACGGCAATGTAATAGAAGAAAATTATCTTATAATTAGACATCTTTTTCCAATATGAGAATAGATTTGGGGTAGGATCGTTGTATGCACAAATGCAAAAATAACGTTTCTTTTAATATACTTAAACAATAAGCACAGCAAAAATAAAGAAAATCAATAAACAAATTCTGGTGGTAGCCATTATCTACACCTTTACCTAAACTCTACCTATTCCCTAATGATCTCGTAACATTGAGGTAAAACGACCCCCACGTCACACCCCAAGGCTCCACCCTGGGGGCCTGATCCTGTAACTGACACGTTAACAAGGAAGATAGTTTTCTGATGACCATCTAAAACTGGAGGCACCACCCTTAATTTCCCATTTACACAACATGAAATACTTACTTGTTGCACAATATTTACACATTATTGTATAGTTCAGTTTTATGATACTACAGATTTTAAAGGAAATCTACAGCAAAACTTTCCATGCTAACCACAAGCTGTAGAGGCTAAGATGGTCATTAATTCTAAATTTATGCTAATATACCTTTACTACGAACCTCTGCTGCTGTTGAGATGAAGAAAACGAGCCACAAGTCTACTGCAGTACCCACCAGGTGTAGAGCTGTGGCACAACAACACAGTCGCCTCAGATGTTTGGGTCAGTGTTGCCAACTGCCAAATGGAAGACTAAGTTCCCCAAAACCGCTAGATTGAGGCCCAAACCGCTAGATTGAGGACCAAACCGCTAGATTGAGGCCCAAACCGCTAGATTGAGGACCAAACCGCTAGATTGAGGCCCAAACCGCTAGATTGAGGACCAAACCGCTAGATTGAGGACCAAACCGCTAGATTGAGGCCCAAACCGCTAGATTGAGGCCAAAACCGCTAGATTGAGGCCAAAACCGCTAGATTGAGGCCAAAACCGCTAGATTGAGGCCAAAACCGCTAGATTGAGGCCCAAACCGCTAGATTATTTTTTCTTTTGGACGTTGCTATACATAACCCAAATGGAAATTTTAATAATTTTGAAATTAATTTTCATGATGACACTTGAAATAAATTACATTACAGACTGTTGTTTGTTTGTTTTATAAATGACATTCCTGACGTTGTACACTCCTCCATACAAATGTTTGCCGATGACTTACTTTTTTACTTTTATCCTCTTCAGCACTGATCGGCTCGTTAGCCGCTTGGGCGATCGGTCACGTCTCTGTCACGCACTGTTGGCAAGTACTGGGCATGCACCGGCTCCTGAATGTACCTGAACCCGCTCCAGTGTTGGTCAAGTCTTGTCTTGAAAGAGCTCACGGTGCCGTCACAACACTCTCTGGTAGATTGTTCCAAGAGTTCACAACTCTCATTCCAAAAAATTTTGCCCTCAACAGTTTTCTGGACTTGCGGCTTCTTCAATCTTGAGCTGTGACCCCTTGTAGGGCGAGCGTCCGCCAGCTCCAAGTAAGGACACTCGACTGAGTAGTGCCCCTTGAGGTGCTTATAGATGGGTTTACAGCATACAATAGTGTAGCAGGAAGTGGCCTGCTCACTTATGTAAAGAATGGTCTGGTCTGTAAATGGATCAAAACCGACTATGATTAAAGTATTCACTTTCAACAATTTACAGTAAAGACAGCAAACAGTCAATTTTCGCTGTACTGTATAACATCTATGTTCGGTGTAATGAGCTGCGAGCAGACGTGTTACCAAAGCCATCAGGTAACAATGCTATGCTGTGTATGGGTGACTAACTCTCGTCACACTGTCCTCGGTGATGTTCAGTGTAACTCTAATGGGAGGGTGTTCGTGAATTACATCAATAATAATCATAATATGACTGTGTACGACACAGACAAAGTGACACATCTGATGGGGGGCAGACTTGATTATGTGATTGGGTATAACCTAGTAGACAGTAATGTCAAGGCTAAGGTCATCTCAGACCACCTAGTCAGTGATCACTATGCAATACTTACTGAATACACTGGTGCTGATGTCAAGTGTGAACCCCATCCTAAGCTCAGAATTAACATCCCAGATAATCTTAAATTCCACCTCAAGGCCTACATCCACAGATGGTATGCTGGATATACACCTAGGTCAGTGGATGAATTTTGCTGTGATCTTGTAAATGCCATTACCACATATTATACCACCTGGGTTAAGTTAAGGAGGAAGGAGGGCAGCACTAAACCACCTCTGTGGACACATGACCCCATCCTCATCAAAGAAGGAGAGAAGGTAGAACAGCTTGCCAACACTTATAAGCAAAAGAAACCTAGTGATAACCTCTTAGCATTCCTCAAAGCTAACAGAGCATTTCGTGAACTCAAAGGTCAGGTGAGAAACACCTATTGGGAACAATTCTTACAGGGGATTAATAGAACAACCACTCTAGCAGAAGTGTGGAATAAAATTAGAGCCATTACCAAGTCACCCACCCCAGTCCAACTTCATCACAGCTCTGCAGAATATGCTGACATTCTATTAGACCAACGGTGCAGTATGTCACAAATCACTTCCCTGCCTCCTGACATACAGCAATACAGGTATCTTAAAGCCACACACATTAACAGGGGTTTCAATATTGAAATAGCCTGTTCCTCACCAGACCTTACCGACCAGCTTCCTATAACGCACCAATAACAAAAGCACTAATAAAAGGTGAATCATCCTCCCCTGGTGAGGATGGCATAACCTATAACACCCTGAGATTGTTAAATGAGATCCCTAACCATCCACTGCTTGACCTGTATCAAATGAGCCTCACACAGGGTATTCTGCCTAAGACATGGACTCAAGGAAACGTAGTACCAATCCCTAAAGCTAACACTCCAAACTTCAGGCTCATTTCACTCACATCCTGTATGTGTAAAGTCCTTGAAGGAATTGTTCTCAACCGTCTCAAGTTTCAAGTCAAAGACAAACTGGCCCCTAATCTGTATGGGACCATGCCCGGGCGCAACAAACAGACATGCTTTGTTCACTCAACAGATAAGACACAAACAGCCTTCATAGACCTTAAATCAGCTTTGATGTAGCTAATAGAGACATTATACTTGAGCAACTAGCTAATTTTGGCATCCAAGGTAACCTCCTGACATGGATAAAGGGTTATCTGTCAAACAGGTATGCCAGTGTTCTGCTTAGAGGATTCAAAAGTACCAGAATGAGAGCATTTGAGCTTGGCACGCCTCAGGGAGGAGTGTTAAGTCCTATGCTTTTTAATATACTGATGCACAAACTTATTGCTGACATTCCAGTTCAGCCAAACGAGGCTGTAATATGCTGTGCTAATGGTATCTGCAATATGGCACAGACCAAGCTCAGGCTCCAAGCCTTGCTTGATGTATTTGCTCAGAGGACTGTGGAATGTGGTCTCATAATATCTGTTGACAAGATGAGGGTCCTCAATCCTAGTCCTGTTCACCCTCTGCCTCTTGACTTTAACATGAACAGCAGGCCCTTGGAACTATGTGTAATATATGTGTATGTTTATATGCTGCCTTTATTGATTATATATACATTATATATTATGTTACTTCTTACCAAAGTTAGAATGTGTTTATGCCTATGTAATCACGAATGTGTTAGGCACGTGGTACACAACAACAACAATAAACGCCCTGAGTAAGAGTCAGCATGTGGCTTCTCATTCTCCCAATAAATCATGTAAGACACTACACTATGTAGCTCTTATAAATATCTTGGAATTTGTGTGAATGATGCAAACTTTGTCGACAACCTCCGTGCCAAACTAATGCAGTGCATTAAACCCCTCAGAACCCTTATTGGTAAGGGCTATGGAATTAACATCACCTATGCTCGTACTTTCTATCTTCACTTCATTCGTTCTGTAGTTGACTATCATGCTCTCCATCTTGTGACTATTCCGCCTTAACAACTCAACAGCCTTGAAGTAGTATAAAGTGAAGCCATGGGCATCATTCTAGGATGCCCTAAATCAACCAGAATTGTAAACATGAGGAAAGAGCTCGGGCTGCCCTCCCTATCTGAGAGGATAGCTCTACTTAATACCATGTTTTGTGTAAAAGTTTTGAAGAACAATGATCCCCAAACTACAGCTTAAACTGAGTTGATGTTCTATCTAAGTAATCCCGACTATCTCGTTAACCTTCCACAAAAGACTCTCTTTGGGGCGTGGCTTCATATAAGTGTTGCAGATCTCTTGAAACTGAATATCCCAATCACCCCAGACGAACCCATTAATGTCATTCCTCCTTGACTGGATATATCAGTTCCTATTAATTACACTCCTGTTGGTAGTAAGCAAATGTTAAACACCGATGTGGTGAGATGTGTCACACTAGAAACTATTAACAGACACAGAGAGTATTAAATCAAGTGAATGTTATGCTTTTACTGATGGTTCTGTGCAGACAAACACAGGTAGAACAGGCTGTGCAATTGTGTTATGTAAAGAAAAATAGATGATAGTGTCAAACAAGCAAAGGCTGAACAATTGGGCCAGCACAACACAAACTGAACTAGCTGGAATCTACTTAGCCACAGACTACATTAAAGAAAATGAATGTGGGTGATATTCTGTGACTCTCAAAGTGCTTTGTCTAAAGTTGTATTAGATATTAAAACAAATGTGATAACTGCCAATGAGAACAACTCTCGTATCGAATTTGTGTGCATTCCGTCCCATGTTGGAATTAGGTATCATGACCGTGCTGATAGACTGGCCAATGAGGCATGTAAGAAAGAAAATGTTGACCGTGACCTTGGCCTGTCCAATGCTGTACTTAAAAACATTCAAGTCAGAATCATGAAATCTGATCTCGAAGAACTGAGAAATGCAGAGAGACCTGGCAGTTGAAGCATTAGTAAATATGAAAAATTTTGTGACAAGAGGTACCGGTATGGCCAGCATAAGGACAGAACTAGACAATGTGATATAGTTGTGGCTAGAATTAGGCTAAGATAGACACATCTGGCAAGTTAGTAACGCTGTACCCATACCGGAACACTCAGCATGTAAACTTTGTGATAAACCTTTAAAGCATTCACTTGAACACTATATTATTGAACGTGACACTGTCAAAGACTTCAGGCCACCTGACTGCAAGTGTCTATCTTTTAATGCAAACATGATATTTAATTTGGAAACGTTAGTTTATATGGATCAGTCCACAATTTCTAGTTTTGTTTATTTTCAAATATTATATTTATAAAAAGCTAACTTAATAACCACCTACAGTATATGGCAAAGTTGGCAAAGAAGGAGGATTGTAACTTAATCTACAGATTAAGTCTTCCCATCCTGTAACAGAGACGTGACCGATCGCCCAAGCGACTAACGAGCTGATCATTTGGTGAAGAGGATAAAAGAAAAATCCTGTAAGGTTAACTTCAATAATAATTTGTTGTGTTAAACAGAGAATCAGCACATGTTCTCAACAAGAACAAGATATAAGAAACTTCGTTAGAGCTCACTTCCGCCGCAACACTGTACATCATGACAAGGAAGTTGTTTTTATTTATTTATTTATATTTTTTTAAATTTTACACCGGATCAGTACCGACAACTCTACTAACGAGCGCTTAATTTTCATTAGTTTCATATTCCCCTTAACACAATTTAACGATCATGGATTTACCTCTTTGTTTATTACTGTATGTAAACTTAGTTATTTGACAACTCTTCATTTAATTTTGAA